AAAAAAATTACATTAAAAGTATATAGCCCCGTTCCAAAATGCAGGTCGAAAACGACTTACTTATACTACTATTATCAATGCTATATGGTCTAACTACCGTTCTTCATTAGATAGAAAATTTAATTTATACATAAATTGTTGTATTTTAACTTCTAATAATAATATACTTCAATCATGAAAAAGACAAAAAATAGGTGGAAAACATTGAAGGTTAATTCAAATCATTTTTTGAATTTTGAAACCGACTTCTCGACAATATACGTTTAATTGCTTTAATTGCTGCAGACGTATATGCTTCAGGGACTCCTGCAGTCTGACCAGTCCTAACGAATAATATCCATAGCTGAATATTTATCTTATTTTCATCACATCAAAGCGGTATTTCTCTTTCGCAGGTTTCTATTTAATATTGAGTCAAATAGACTGCAAAACCAATGTGTATTAAATTATTTAAAATGGTTTATTTTATTCGGTCACGGCAGACTAGTGTATTGTACACATGGATCAGCTTTTGATGTGATCTAAACCACTTGAGGCGACCATAATCTCGAGCATCACATCTATTGTCACCAAAGTTACTAAATAAGTCACGGAATACCGTCACAGACATAGAAAGATTGTCAACGAGTGCTGTTTTTTGGGTAAATCATCGGCTTCGCCTCGCCAATTATCTGCACTATTTCGCGTAAAGCTCAGCGCCTCGTACTTTATCTATGCCATCTAAACCACCTGACCATTATCTCAAGCATCGCAACTATTGTCACCGAAGTAAGTAAGTAAGTCACGGACGACCGTCACAGACAAAGAAAAGATTGTCAACGAGTGCTGCAATTTTGGCGAATTCCACGACAAACACTGAGCGAACATTGCCCAACCTCGTTCAACACAACTTCCCTAAACTTCTCTGTCTGCATTCAGCGCAAGCAGTTGAGTCTCATATACCTTTATCTTCATTGTCGTCGCAGTACCACGTGGCACAGATCTGTTGCTTCATTTATGAACATTAAGGTGAGGTTTACTAAAACGCTTTTTTCTACTAATAGATTATTTTTACTATTTTTTAATGACGGAGATCGATTAAAACGTTCCTCTAGTGTATAGGTTGAGTGCTGAATCTTAAGAATTCGAGAATGGATTTTTATGTGTCTCAAATCCTTTAAGTCTCATTATTTCCATTTGTCTCTTTTAATCTCTTCCATCAAAAACAAGTCGCCACACCTTGGATAATTTCGTTAAAGACAGTCCCAGGTCCAAGCGTTATGTAATCTTCCAACCCGGAAAAAAAAAAAAAAAAAAAATATATATATATATATATATATATATATATATATATATATATATATATATATATATATATATATATATATATATATATTCAGGGCAACGATAACAAATATTAGAGTCCCTGCATCTAGTTTTAATGATCGACTGTTTAGATAGGATACAGTGGTTTACTTGTAGTTTGCGGTACGCAGGAATCATTACGATTCCCTATAAAAACTGGGCCTCTAAGACAGAAAGAGAGAGATCCCGGGAGATCGTCGTGATTGACCCTGCCTGCGTGCCAGCTTGTACCCCGTCGGTGAATAAAAATCTACTTGATCTACAATTGAAGTCGTTCTGCGTTTTCAAGCTGCTACCCTCTCAGAAATAAGTAACCCACCGGGTTACACAACATTTCTTTCCGTTATACTTATTTCAGCCAAACAAATTAAGACAGCCGACGAAGATAGCTGCGGTTTACGTGGTATTATAATCGAGATCCAAGGCGACCGTTAACTGGACACACAATGATGATTGTGCGTAGTATTTACAGAGGCTGGATTGTACTGGGAATTGCTGTGATATTATTCGTGTTGTTCTCGGGAATTGAGACCGCTTGGGGGACAACAATACTGTGTTTGCAACAGGACAAAGACTTTTTAAATGCGTCACTTGCACTGTTAGGTAAGAAACTTTTTTTCGAATACAAATATAAATAAATAAATAAACAAACAAACGAAAAATGTAAAATCCAGATTCAGTTTATATGAACAAGATATAGTAAGCAGAGACCTTCAGCTTATCACGGTTATTGTTACTGTCGCAGAGTGACCCAAGCATAATAAAAACAGACACAGTAGCAACTTCACAACTTTCAAATTAAGCCACGAATTACCGTCGGAAGATGTGTAGAATGAATACTTCTGTATTATTTTTTCAGGTGCTCCTCTAGCAGTGTATTATTTCTCTCATTTTTCTGTGAGTAACTTTATCTACAAGGCGCTATCAAGAGTCGGACACTTGAGTCTACGGCAGGTGGCAGCTCTCGGAATATCTCTTATGGTGCTCGGCCTGTTTCTGACATCTTTTGCAAATAGCGCCTACTCTGTGACTGTATCGTATGGCATTATATCTGGAAGTGGCAACGGACTATTTTCTTTAAGTATGTATTTGGTGATAGCACGTTGGTTCCCATGGACACACGACTACCACGTGTTTACAACAAGTGCATTAAGTGCTATCTTGCCCCTTGGTAAGTCCCTTTTTTTCTCTTGCTGATGCCCTTGCCAAAATAACGTACCACATTAAAGTTTATAAGAAACAAACATGTAAGAAATTTATACGTAAAACTAATGTCAGTCAAAAAAATGATAGAAGACGTTTAGATAACTTATTTTATAGGCTAAGATTTTTCAATTTCTACACTTAGGTCCAATTTAAATTACACCTAACAATGATTTCGATCACTACTGTGACCTTCTTCAGTGTGTCTTATTCTGAGATTGAGCACTATGTAATATAACTTGCCGGNAGGTGACCATTATCTCAAGCATCGCAACTATTGTCACCGAAGTAAGTAAGTAAGTCACGGACGACCGTCACAGACAAAGAAAAGATTGTCAACGAGTGCTGCAATTTTGGTGAATCCCACGGCAAACACTGAACGAACATTGCCCAACCTCGTTCAACACAACTTCCCTAAACTTCTCTGTCTGCATTCAGCTTGCAGCGCAGTTGAGTCTCATATGCCTTTATCCTCATTGTCATCACAGTACCACGTGACACAGATCTGTTGCTTCATTAATGAATATTAAGGTGAGGTTTACTAAAACGCTTTTTTTCTACAAATAGATTATTTTTACGATTTTTAAATGGCGGAGATCGATTAAAATGTACGTTTAGTGTATAGATTGAGTGCTGAATCTTAAGAATTCGAGAAATGGATTTTTTTGTGTCTCGAATCCTTTAAGTCTTATTATTTCCATTTGTCTCTTTTAATCTCTTCCATCAAAAACAAGTCGCCACACCTTGGATAATTTCGTTAAAGACAGTCCCAGGTCCGAGCGTTATGTAATCTTCCAACCCGGAAAATATGTATATATATATATTCAGGGCAACGATAACAAATATTAGAGTCCCTGCATCTAGTTTTAATGATCGACTGTTTAGATAGGATCGATACAGTCATTTACTTGTAGTTTGCGGTACGCAGGAATCATTACGATTCCCTATAAAAAACTGGGCCTCTAAGATAGAAAGAGAGAGATCCTGGGAGATCGTCATGATTGACCCTGCCTGCGTGCCAGCTTGTAGCCCGTCGGTGAATAAAAATCTACTTGATCTACAATTGAAGTCGTTCTGCGTTTTCAAGCTGCTACCCTCTCAGAAATAAGTAACCCATCGGGTTACACAACATTTTTTTCCGTTATACTTATTTCAGCCAAACAAGACAGCCGACGAAGATAGCTGCTGTTTACGTGGTATTATAATCGAGATCCAAGGTGACCGTTAACTGGACACACAATGATGATTGTGCGTAGTATTTACAGAGGCTGGATTGTACTGGGAATTGCTGTGATATTATTCGTGTTGTTCTCGGGAATTGAGACGGCTTGGGGGACAACAATACTGTGTTTGCAACAGGACGAAGACTTTTTAAATGCGTCACTTGCACTGTTAGGTAAGAAACCTTTTTTCGAATACAAATATAAATAAATAAATAAACAAACAAACGAAAAATGCAAAATCCAGATTCAGTTTATATGAACAAGATATAGTAAGCAGAGACCTTCAGCTTATCACGGTTATTGTTACTGTTGCAGAGTGACCCAAGCATAATAAAAACAGCCACAGTAGCAACTTCGCAACTTTCAAAATAAGCCACGAATTACCGTCGGAAGATGTGTAGAATGAATACTTCTGTATTATTTTTTCAGGTGCTCCTTTAGCAGTGTATTATTTCTCTCATTTTTCTGTGAGTAACTTTATCTACAAGGCGCTATCAAGAGTCGGAAACTTGAGTCTACGGCAGGTGGCAGCTCTCGGAATATCTCTTATGGTGCTCGGCCTGTTTCTGACATCTTTTGCAAATAGCGCCTACTCTGTGACTGTATCGTATGGAATTATATCTGGAAGTGGCAACGGACTATTTTCTTTAAGTATGTATTTGGTGATAGCACGTTGGTTCCCATGGACACACGACTACCACGTGTTTACAACAAGTGCATTAAGTGCTATCTTGCCCCTTGGTAAGTCCCTTTTTTTCTCTTGCTGCTGCCCTTGCCAAAATAACGTACCACATTAAAGTTTATAAGAAACAAACATGTAAGAAATTTATACGTAAAACTAATGTCAGTCAAAAAAATGATAGAAGACGTTTAGATAACTTATTTTATAGGCTAAGATTTTTCAATTTCTACACTTAGGTCCAATTTAAATTACACCTAACAATGATTTCGATCACTACTGTGACCTTCTTCAGTGTGTCTTATTCTGAGATTAAGCACTATGTAATAACTTGCCGTTAGTTATACCCTTTCTTAGAGTTGCTTTTTACCAATAAGGCAACTAAGACAGGCAGGTGGTTTATGGTTTATTTATTTGGCTGACTATAAACTCTCGTATCTATTCCCTCTCTCTCCATCTCTCTCTCACTATATGTATCTTAATCCATGTCTCTATCTCACTAGGTCCATCTAACTGACATACAACGTGCCATACTTTAATACATTACAACCTAATTGTAGATACAATTTACATTTACAAATATGCAAGTCGCATACATGATAATCTAGTCATCAGTGCTATTAATGGTTCACCACATGCAAGCTGTCATTTTTATATATTTTATTATAAATTAAACAAACAAATACGTAAATAACATGTATGCAGATTTAGATTATCATTACTAATAACGGTTCACTACAACTATTCACTAGTGCAAATGAAATAGTGTATATAACTGTTTTTAATTAATTTCTATGCAGCTGTGTTATTAATTCAATGATTGTGATAAGTATAACTTCAGGCACATCAATTGTGAACAATGTGAATGCCCAGATGTGCGCAGATCCGTCACTAGGGTGGCAGTGGGCGTTCCGACTTTATGCAGCCATTTTTGGTTTCCTTGGTCTCCTGCTTATCCTGCTGTTCGGGAATCCACCAATAACGTTATCTGAAAATGATTGCAGTCCAACCAATAAAGAGTATGTGTTGTTTTAAGTTCGGAGCTATAACGAATTTTATCTAGTTGATGCGAGTTATGCTGGTGAATATTTATTATAAGGTGGAGCTTTAAATACAATGTTTAAAAGTCATGTAGATTATATCCCATAGGGTTGATTCTGCTGTACACTTATACTCAAGCTTTCATTGGAAGACAACTTATTATAGTTTTTTCTGTTATTAATTCATTTATTTTATAATTATAATATAAAATCTTGCTTACAACGACATACATCCAAAAAAAAACGGTTTTGAGTGAATATTTTTCAAGAATGAATATTCCCTCTGTAAAATAATTCTGAATGTGTATTTGCTATTCGTCATTTTACAATGAGCAAATCACATGCTTTTGAGTGAATGTCATAATTTTTATCTATTAGATCAAATTTTGTACACCCTTGGTCAAAGTGTTCTAAAGTTACCATTCACGGAATATGGTCCATAGCAATCTTCTGCAAAGGATATTCTTACTTCCTTCCTTTCGTTATTCTAGTAAGTATATTATGATTATTCAATAAGTATTTTTTGTAAATAATAATTTATTATATAAAGAGTTTAAGAGGAGAAAATTTAAAAGAACCCTTCAAGGTTAATAGAATTGACCATAGTATCTATAGTATATAAGGCATCCATTTACACCATAATTCGAAACATACCTGGATACAAACGAACTGCAGGTATGAGCTTGTATCTTATTTACATAAAGCTCGTTTGCTTACAGAAAAGACCTTAAGGAGTGCTTTAGTTGGTTTTAATTGTTTTTCAGTAAAGTATGCCATTCACTGAGAAACTTTCCTCCCTTTGAAAAAATGTAGAATTTCACCTTTTTTCATGCTTCTTTCAGCCAAAACATTTGACAGATCTCGGATATCAGGAAAACGAAGCAGAGTATGTGATGACATTTTTAGGAATAATGGGCGTGGTCGGACAGACGTTTTCTTCCTGGTTCGGGGACCGCCTGAAGGGAAATTTGTTGTTGGTGAACCTTGTAGCGGCGTCATTACTCACCGTCAATAACATCGTTGCAGTGTACTGGACAACGTTGACCGCTGCCTTTGTATATAGTGCCGGTATGCGTTTTTTATTTATTTTTAAATTAATGGCATTCTCGTTTTAGTTCGTTTGATGGAACCAAGCTTTGTTCACTTCAGTAAATACTTTATGTCTGCTTCCAAAAGTAAGTTCGAGTTATCACTTTTAACACGCAGATTTAGGGACACTTTTTATTATCTAACCTTATGCACGTTATGTTTGTACCTTGAAAATATTATCCCACTACCCGTTTTGGTAAGTAATGTCCATATTTTATCAAAAACAAAATGTGGACTTAATTTCTGGTCTTAGGTCTAGGTTTTGGCCCATACGTCTAATATCAACATGCGTTTTAGTCACAGATCTAGGTTTTGGCCCATACAACGCCGGGTACTATGCCATCAACTATGAGATCATGGACGGAGAGAATGTTGATACCTTATTCATGACAATGCGGTTTAGTAAAGGTATCGGAGCTGCTGTAGGGCCATATCTGGCAGGTTGGTTGAATTTTTACGAATTAATTACACTTGGGTTGGGAGAAGCTTAATTACGGGATGGTTCCAATATACCCATTGCTTTGCAGTTCGAGTTTAGCCTGTTCACTCTTTTAAAACAGGACTTATTTTTCTCGTGGACTTTGTACTTTGGCATTTGCCTTGAAGGTTTTCCAGTCGTCATATGCAAAACAAATAACCAGAGAAGATGAATTTGATTGATGCTTTATAACAAATAACCAGTTCGCGCGTTGTTACATATTTGTTTTGTATTTTCATGTTTTTATATTTTCAGGACATGTTCGTGACGTCACCGGTAGTTACTACGTTGTGTTTATATCCATCGCGGCATGTTTAGGTCTGTTTGACTTAGCTACGTTCTTTCTTATATGCGTCAAGAAGTTTAGAAAAATTGACAGTCTTGAACTGATGAAGAACAGCAGCTCAGCAGAGTGAAATACAGACTTGACATTTAATATGGAATATTTCAGTTTCGAAGGTATGCCTAGGTAAAAATGCGTTCTTTAAAAAAAAACTCCGATCTTATATAAGATCTGTGAATGGAGAAGTGTGTAGTCAGGTGTGTCGCTACCAATTAACTGAATACCAGGTTTGTTGCGCTGCTGCATTATGTGATATGCAGTGATTCAAGTGGGTAGTGCTCCTTTGGGCTGGTCAAAGCTTGACATTGGCAAAGCATGGTTCTGTCAAAAAAGTACCCATACATCGGCAACTACTGCATAGAAGAATTTGAAATTTTGTATGCAAGTGGTCGGTTTGGCAGTGTGTACAATGAGCTATGCAGTGCTTTACAAATTGTTAATCTGTGGCAGAATGGCGCAAAAAAATGACAGACATTGCCAGGCAGATAATTGCGCCAAAGGAAACGGTCCGCACAGTTTTATAGAATAATGCCAAGACTGATATACCTGCACAGAGGCCACGCCCAGTGTATTGAAATCTTTACAACCAGGGTACAGGAGCCCACTGTCTTTCGGGATATGCTGTTGCAACTAAAAAAAATCCACCCAGTCCGTTCAGAATGAGGGGTAAATTGCCACCAAAAAGCATATATTCAAGGCCCTTAGCGAAAACCAAACCCCCGAGGAACCCACTGTAAACAGCAAAATATCGTTGCATGTTTCTCTAATGAATTGGGGACCTTGGCCGTTTCTGGGTTAAACACTGAAACTTCGTGGCTTTCTTTATTGAGGTCAGATTTCACCTATATCGCTCAACTAGTCAAAACAGAGTTTACAGACATCCAGAAGAGGCCAACGACGAAGCGTGTGCCGTCAGTATTTGGAGTGCATACCACATTGATGCCAGTGGTAGTCATCAACGAAACCTGAACCAAATGAAAAAAGGGAATAATCTTGGAACCACTTGACTATCATTTGAAAGGGGGAATCTTCGGAACACTTTTAGGTTGCATGGTGAGATTGCGATTCACACAGAGCACTTTTAATAGCAGATTACTTACAGAACCGAGGCAATGAGCAGCTACCTTGGTCATCAAAATCGCCATATTTGAACCACAAAAGTAATATGTGGGCAGGCCATTACTCGCCCAATCAATGGCCTTCATGTCCTACAACAAAACTGGACCAAATTGGACAGATTTTAACCGAATTCTGGAATGCTAATCCGGATTGAACTCTAAATACCTATCCCAAGGAATGCCTTGCCACTTCAGAGCGCTGGTAGCAGCCAGAAGAGGTCAGGTGTAACATCGACCGTTACTGTGACTAGACACTGACATGAGGGTCCTTTTTGGAGCGTGTAACTATTTTACAGAGAATAATTTGGAAAATATGGAGATCCAAAATATCTCTTTAGATGGCTGACATATGCCTTAGAATAGGCAATGTGTTTTTGTTTGCTTCTCTGGCGAATTCAATTAATGACCTACTGTCACCATGACATCAAAGAGATAATTCAAAGTTATTAAAACACGAATTTAATACTTATTTTCATTTATCAGTCAGCAAAATAGGGAAAAACTGATGAAAATGATTTGGAAAAAATATTCCATATTAAATGTCAAGTCTGTATATGAAATAGACTTCATCGTTTGCATTAAAACCTCTTTTCTTAATGCCGCTCCGACCGGTGGCGTGCCGATTAAAGGGATAATTACTCTTCGTTTTGGCCCAAAAGTGAATTTTCCTTGAGTAAACAACAATTTTCCCATACTAACCAATGGTTATTGAATCCATTTTTACATTCAAAGTTAGTCCCTGTTTTTCTAAAAAGTTATTTTTTGTTATAATCTCTTAAGCCATCAATGGAGGTCACGTGGTCTTAAGACAAACTCAGATTTCAGAATAATAGCGATAACTTCCGTTTTTGTGGTAAAACAAATTATATCATATTTTTGAGTTGCTTACAATGTTTTTTTTTTTTTTTTTTTTTTTTTTTTTTTTTTTTTTTGTAAAATATAGATCTCATACGAAGAGTTATTATCCCTTTAATTCCTAGGATATGAGAGATATATCACCGTATCCTTAAAACTTCATTAAAGGGGGTGCCACTGGGAAGGGTTTTTTTATCGGTGAAGGCAAGAAGTGCACAATATTCATCATTCTCATGTCGTTTCAAAATTTCTTTAATAAATAAAAACAAAACTGGTTTGTTTTTTTTTTTAGCTAATGGCTTGGTAATATTATCCTAAGAAATAAGTGTCAGAGATGCTCGCAATTTCGTACGCAATTCGACAAAACCTGTCTGTGGTTGCACTCATTGCTCGAATTACTGATGTTCCGTTGTTGCCACGTGCTTTTGGTGTTTCTCTTTTCAGAAACTATTCAAATATACATCAAGAAACAAAAACACAATCCGTTTGGTAATATTATATGGCTGTGATATAGATACCATCGTTCAACAGTGAAGTGTAATTGTAAGCAGATGCTTTATTAGATGGTAGCAGATCACTTAATCCAAAAAGCTAGTGACAAAAGATCCCCTGTGTGTCTTTTGCTTTCTTTATCTGGAAAACAATTGGTCATATTGCTTTTGCTCTTTGGCTTTGATCAGTGTCTCTGCTACTGAAATAAATAAGTTTAGAAATTTAGGAAAAAAACTATGTTTTGTTGTTTCTCACTAAACTTCCAAGCTCTTTGATAAATTAAATTACGACACCATGTTCGCCTCTGCTATGAAGTCGACATTCATAATATTTGAATGGGCTTGAAGTTTCTTGTAAAACATCTAACAATTAGTAAATGAGTTGTCATGGTATGTCATTTTAATAGCAGAGACAAAGTCAGCACATAATTTAAAAAAGATTTTAAAAAATCAATTAATTGTAGGGTGAGGTGGTGAAGTTTCATTGTGTAAAGGCAATGGCCAGGTATGTCACAGCATCTACTGAAAGAAGTGCAGTCAGCTACTGCCTAATGCGTAGTCAATTGTTGAGTATGCCAGTAAAATCACTCATTGTAAGCCAGCTTTGTGTCGCTTACAATGATATATTATGAACAAAACAAACTGAAATACGCAGATATGCTATCAACTTAAAAGAAAAGCAAATAATGTAAAAAATGAATAATAAAATGATCTCATTTCACGAGTGTCTGTGTTCTTTCCACCTATGTCACATAGCTTTTGCGGATATTCATTATACATTAAGTCTTTAACTCTATAATTCTTAAGTAACATCTTTACTTAAAAGTTACACATAATCTCAATTATAAGCCCTTTGCCGACTTTGGGTTTTTCTAGGCAAGAATGCAAGCCACTGGATTCTAAATGTGCTAGCTACTGACTAGCACAACTACCACAATAAAAAATGCACTGTAATGACTTGTAACTTTAAACCTAAATTTGAGAAAACGCTAAAAATGCGCAAGTAGTATAGTAAGGCTTAATCGTCAAGTTTTAGTAATACATCAGATCATGCCATGACAATCCCGCATGCTGACTTGATTGGTTTTCTTATTTGTGTTATTTAAGAGTTTAATTTTATTTAGTTGTAAAGATGAGTATATTTTAGTTTGTTTAGTTCATGCTATTTCATCCGAATGTTCTTTAATTGTTTCTTTTAAATCTTAGTTCATGCAATTTGTTCTGTTAGTTCTTTATATTATATTGAGGCATTCGCTCTCTCATGTGTGTCGCATATACGTTTGAATTTATGTTATTTAAGAGTTAAGTTTAGTTAAATTTTGTTATAAAGATAAATACATTTTAGTTTGCTTGTTCTTTATTTCTTTTTAGTCTTAGTTCTTGTAATTTGTTCTGTTAGTTATTTTATATCATACTGATGCACTCGCCATTTACAAGTCTAGTGAATAAGCAAATGTATTTCAAACTAACGTTCTCGAATAATCCACAAGTCGCATTTACTACTATTAAATACACAAGAACAGCAATGTCATCTCTCTGTTGTCCAAACGTATTAAGTATTTGGTGGGGCGGGTCAATCGCAAAAAAAGTATTATCCACATCATCAGTGCTATTAAGACATATGATTTAACTACTGTAACATATCGTTTGACTGTCCTTCATTAGTTCAAGACCACGAAGGTTTCGGAACATCGTAATTTTGAATTATTATCTAATGACCATATGAACTAAGGTTGATAAGTTTGAGCAAATATTGATGGATAATGCACCCATCATTCGTTACTTCAAAAAAAAATTATTTTTCAAGTTTCAAGGAATGGAATTGTGATGGAATAAGAGCGACATTCTCAGTAAAGGGTCAAATTTCAACGGTACGTATATCACTCCACGCTTCTCACAGATGGACTTATTCACTCCTGTAATAGCTGACCTTGCCAGCAAGTTGCATATGCAATTTAAACAATGCCTTTTTTTATCATAAACACTGAACAACCATCAAGATTACTTTAAAATTCCTTTTTAATTTTAAAGTTCGTTACAAAATTGATATCTGCTGTGGTACTTCATCTTTCCCGGAATAAATGAGAAAATAGTTGATATTTCCGGTATGTACGGCGTGGGGGGGGGGGGGGGGGCACAGTCTGAAGGTTCTAAAATCCACAAAACTGCAACTATAGACTAACCTACCAGTACACCCCAATTTGAAATTAGGCAAAGTTTTTCGGAACAGTGACGGTGAAGAACGTTAGAATAACGATTTCTTAACGTTTGCTGATGGTCTAACCATATACATGTATATAAGCCTGTGAAAACCTTTGAGTGGTGCTCACATGAGCCAATTATCGGTATTTAGTGGATAACCACGTGTCCAGTCCTGAATCTTGATCATTCTGTTGTTAACCTTTACCCGACGAAAAACAGATTCGTTTTACTAGATATCACAGATATTTCTCTGACTTACTCACAAGTTGCCCAGCACGGATCAATACACAAGAACAGCAACGTCACAACTCTGTTGTCCACTCGTTAAAAGAAAGTATTTGGCTGGTCGAACTTGAATGGCTAAAAGTATTATACATCATCAATGCTATATGGTCTAACTACCGTTCTTCATTAGTTCGAGACCACGAAAGTTTCTCCACTTATTTATAAATATAAGAACACCTGTTCCTAGGGCAAACACGCCGAAACATGAAGCAATTGCCAGGAACACTGTGAAGTAGCTACCCGAAACATCTCGAACGTGACCTGAAGAAATAATATCAATATTAAAGCAAGCTATACTAAAGAAACTTTAAAATTTAATTTATACTAAATTGTTGTGTTAAAACACTCAACACCCCAGCAGCGTTTTAACTCCTAATAAGACTATACTTCAATCATAAAACAGACAAAAAATAGGTCGAAGGAGGAAAACATTGAAGATTAATATTTTTCAACAAGAAAAGGGAAAACAAATGCCGCATGTCCAGTCAAGATTTGTCAACCATTATTTTATATTTTTTACAAAGAGCTTTGATATATCTTTAAAGCAATGAGCATTTGCATCTAGCGTACGTGGATCATGTTGACATTTTAAAAACCTCATTCTACCTGCAAAATATGGTCCTACAGCATTCCCGATACCTTCACTGATGCGCATTGTCATGAATAACGTAGCGACATTCTCTCCGTCCATAATCTCATAGTTGACGGAAAAGTACACCAAACAGCCAAAGCTAAAACCGCATACTAAAAAACATTTTGAAAATTAGTTCAATCATAAAAGATATTTTACCTTAAAGCACGCTAATATTTAATTTGGTCATGATTTATATTCAAAAAGGAATTATAAGAGCAATTTTAGGATTTTTTGCTGGGTTTGAACATTAAAATTACAGCAAAACCTGATTACGAGTAATACACCATTGTTTTATTTAAATTTGATTTAAACCATAAAAGATATTTTACATTAAAGCACGCTCAAATTTAATTTGGTCATGATTTATATTCAAAAGAGGAATTTCAAGAATCTTCGGATTTTTTGCTGGATTTGAACATTTAAAAATTTTTTGCTGGATTTGTACATTTAAAAATACAGCAAAACCTGATTACGAGTAATACAACATTGTTTATTTCTTGGAGTACAACTGACATTGATTTAATCAATCAACACTAAAATTTACTATTAAAACAATTACAACTAACCTCTAACTGACTAAACTAAAAGTGAACAGTGAAATAAAGAAAAAGAAAATAAAAACACTTACCGGCACCATATACAAATATGGCCGTCAAAGATGTAGAATATGCAGCAGCAATGTTAGTAATAATGAGTACCGTTGCTGCTACCAAGTTCACCACCAGCAAGTTTCCCTTGAGATAGTCCCCGACACAAGAGGATAACGCCTCACTAACCATGCCCATGATTCCGAAAATGGCCATTACATACCCTGCTTCGTCTTCCGTATAGCCAAGGTCAATGGTATGTTTTGGCTGAAAGAAAACTAGTGTTAAGTAAATGCTGTTTTTTATTAATACTTTGACACATTTTAGCCCGTGTTAAAATAAAAATAAACAATCGCTTCATCCAGTTTTTAACTGGCCATCACTGTGTTGCGCTTGCGTTTACACAAAGAGTTTAAGAATATAAAAGAAGTTAAAATATTAAGACAAAGCTCGTGAACTGTTGAAGTTACTAAACTTGGTAAGGTTTTTTAACAACCCGAAATACTTACCAGTATTACAAAAGGCAAGCCATAAGCAAATCCTTTACAGCAGATTGCCACGGCCCATATGCCATAAATTCCCACTTTAGAACACGTAGACCAGGCTGGTTTCTGTAACAAACCTGATCTGAAAACAGGATCATTTGAAACAAATTATTTTTTTAATTTTGAAACCGACTTCTCTACCATATACGTTTAATTGCTTTAATTGTATACTTCAGGGTCACCAGCACCCTGGCCAGTCCTAACGAATAATCTCCATAGCTGAATATTTATCTTATTTTTATCGTATCAAAGCGGTATTTCTCTTTTGCAGGTTTCTATTTAATATTGAGTCAAATAGACTGCAAAACCAGAGTGTATTAAATCATTTTAAATATTTTATTTTATTCGGTTACGGAAGACTATGTATTGTAGACATGTCATTGTGTTTATTTCTAGGGAGGAAGAGAATATTGCACCTAGGCAAATTGCCTCCTGTTTGGGTGCAAAAGCGTAATTATAAATGTGTAAAAAATCTGCTGAAAAATCCTGATGCATCACGTTTTATGTGGCTACACCCAAGCGTGTCAAACTTCAACGCACTCTTTAATGGCACCCTTGTCCCGTACGTCTGATGACGTCACTGGAGGGTTCCCGAATACCAGAAGTAGGAGAAGACCAAAACATGTTAAGGTAGCTGCATAAACTCTAAACACTCCTCGCCATCCCAGTAATGTGGTTTCACACATCTTCGCGTTAACGTTATTAAAGATGGACCCTCCTGAAGAAAATTATAAAAGTTATCTCTATCATAGCAAAATTCAGGAGAGAGAGAGAGAGAGAGAGAGAGAGAGAGAGAGAGAGAGAGAAAAGAGATTTAGAGAGAGGTTAGATTTTACAAATTTTCTTATATGCTTGGATATCATAATATGGTTATATCATTTTAATGTAAATGAATGTATTAGACGATGCTTCACTGTTGTGGGTACTCACCCAGATGTTCCATAACATTCAACGAAGTGACTGAAAACACGTGGAATCTATGTGTCCAAGGGAACCAAAGTGCTATAAGTGAATAAGTACTTAGAGAACACAATCCATCTCCAGTTCCATATATAATGCCAAAGGCTATGGCCACAGAATGGGGACCATTAGCAAAAGATGCCAGAACCAGTCCCAACATTGTTAAAGATATCCCAACAGCTATAAACTGGCGAAGGCTAAGTTTTCCAGCCTCAGACAAAGCCATGAACACAAAGTTACTCAGTGAGATCTTAAATACACAATACACCGTAAAAGGTGCCCCTGAAAAACAGAGTGAATACAACTCAAATATATTTGATATTTATAAAGAACGAGACCAATGTTAATTGATAAAGGCTACTCTGTCAATGTCTAATATTTTTAGCCCATAACCTGCCTCACCACAAAATACGAAAAGGTCATGTGATACAATGTTTTAGGTATGTTTATCAATGATTTGTATTTTTTAAGAAATGCAAAAAAAAAAAAAGAAAAAAAAAAAGAAAAGAAAAAAAGAAAAAGAAAAAAGAAAAAACAGGCGGCCATCTTGGATTTTGTCTGTTTCCATATAGGCAATTGCCATTTTCACATCATGGCTATTTTTGACCAGCAGACTGAGTTTCAAAATTATATATATAATTCAGGTCTGTGTAAAACGGGGACACTAAACTCCTTAAATAAAGCTTTTTTGGGGGATTTGCCACTCACATACATAAATTATCTTTCCTTACTAACTTATTGTATTAAATTTGTAGTCTTTCCACACACTTTCTAGAATATATGAATACGAATATGCATTTGCATAAATATTTTACGATGGCGTACACTTGGAAATGTAGATCTTAATATGTGTGGCGAGCAAAACTCATCAAAAGCAGTGTTATCCTCAAAAGCAGGGCGTCCTTAGGCATAAGTTTTTTATATAAACTTTATAATACGACAATGATAGAAATGCAGCATGTTCCATCTATGTAATTTAATATCATATCTATCAACCCCCCCCCCAAAAAAAAACAAAAAACAAAACTATATATATATATATATATATATATATATATATATATATATATATATATATATATATATATATATATATATATATATATTCTCACCAAGCTGCGCAATGGACGATTCCGGAAAATATTTATCCTGTTGAAAACATAAGATCATCATCCCCCAGGATGCCTCAATGCCCGCTGAGGACATAAATGATAGAATTGAAATCCCAAGTACCACCCAGCCTCTGTATATATCAGGAGATATCATCGCTATACCTAAGCAGGCTACAGATCACTTAACATCTCCTTTGTAAGCACTGACAGGTCTTCATTTTAGAGCTGATCTAATGATCTAAGTGTTGTCGTTTAAGTTTGGATGAATTCAGGACAAAGGCTGTAATTGATTCCCAAGTGAACATTATTTGTCCAATTCAGATTGCTGTTCTTCGAGAACTCTAAATTTCCATTTGAGTCATAAACAGAAGAATTGCAGTCCAGTACAACATATTCTATGTAAATAGCCTGTGCTGTCGTTATCGTGCTTCTTTCCTCTAGTTTGATAATCCTGAATTACCAAGAGTGGGTGCTCAGCTTTTTATGGATGAATCCAGATGGAAATAATACACCACTGGAGTGAACATCAGTTCATCTATACCTCAACAAGGGCCGTACCTAAAACACGGAACAGCGGAACAACGGAACAGCGGAACAGACTAAAATGCGGAACATTGTTACTATGGAAGGACTCGAGTCATGTGCTCTGGCAGTACAACTAGATTTCAAGCGTCACAAAAATCAATTCATCCAAATTATAAACCGAACACCAGACCGCGGTACNTTAAACCACGGCTAGCGCGTAGAACAAAAGACTCGGCCGTGCTGTATTCGACATACAAGCACGTCATGTACGAGTGCGTTCCACGGTCTCTTGCACTACTAGTGTAGTAGCCAATCAGAGGCCGTGGTTTAAGCCAGATACAACACTCGTCGCCGAGCTGTACGTGAAAATTACTCGTGTATTGTCTCGCCTGCGGCTCGCCAATACACTCGTAATATTTCACGTACAGCTCGGCGACTCGTATTGTATCTATCACTTAAACCACGGCTAGCGCGTAGAACAAAAGACTCGGCCGTGCTGTATTCGACATACAAGCACGTCATGTACGAGTGCGTTCCACGGTCTCTTGCACTACTAGTGTAGTAGCCAATCAGAGGCCGTGGTTTAAGCCAGATACAACACTCGTCGCCGAGCTGTACGTGAAAATTACTCGTGTATTGTCTCGCCTGCGGCTCGCCAATACACTCGTAATATTTCACGTACAGCTCGGCGACTCGTATTGTATCTATCACTTAAACCACGGCTAGCGCGTAGAACAAAAGACTCGGCCGTGCTGTATTCGACATACAAGCACGTCATGTACGAGTGCGTTCCACGGTCTCTTGCACTACTAGTGTAGTAGCCAATCAGAGGCCGTGGTTTAAGCCAGATACAACACTCGTCGCCGAGCTGTACGTGAAAATTACTCGTGTATTGTCTCGCCTGCGGCTCGCCAATACACTCGTAATATTTCACGTACAGCTCGGCGACTCGTATTGTATCTATCACTTAAACCACGGCTAGCGCGTAGAACAAAAGACTCGGCCGTGCTGTATTCGACATACAAGCACGTCATGTACGAGTGCGTTCCACGGTCTGTTGCACTACTAGTGTAGTAGCCAATCAGAGGCCGTGGTTTAAGCCAGATACAACACTCGTCGCCGAGCTGTACGTGAAAATTACTCGTGTATTGTCTCGCCTGCGGCTCGCCAATACACTCGTAATATTTCACGTACAGCTCGGCGACTCGTATTGTATCTATCACTTCAATCTTGCGGTTTTCTTTTTTCAATAGCGTACGTGTAACAGACCGTCAGTGTAGACTGGCTGTGTGCGGGGTCATGTGGGCGGTATCACAAAGACATTAACATAGAGGTATCTGTCTTATTTAGAAATACATATCGCATTGCACGACATGGGTTCTTTTTGTGATATGGCCAACTATCATGCAACCCACATGAGTGTCTGTGTCTGTATTCCAAACTTACTGATTTATTTTCATATAACACTGACATGAGGATCCTTTTTGAGGAACGTAACCCTTTTAAAAACGATAATTTGGAAAAAATGGAGATCCAAAATAGGAAAAAAGCTGATAAATTATGATTTGGCAAAAAATATTCCAAATTAAATGTTAAGTCTGTATATTTACATTTGAATTTGTTATTTAAGAGTTAAGTTTTAATTTGTTAAAAAGGTAAGCATATTTTAGTTTGCTTAGCTTATGTTATTTCAGTTTGAATGCATTTTATTTCCTTTTTGTCTTAGTTCATGTAATTTGTTCTGTTGGTTCTTTTATGTAATATTGAAACATTCGCCTTCTCACGTGTGTCGCATATACATTTTCAGTACATAAATGTATTTAAAACTAACGTTCTTGAGTAATCCACAAGTCACATTTACTACTGTTAAATACACAAGAACATCACCTCTCTGTCGTCCACAGTATTTGGTTGGGCGAGTCAATCGTAAAGGTATTATCTTCATCATCAATGCTATTAAGCCATGTGATTTAACTACTGTAACATATCGTACGACCGTTCTTCATAAGTTCTAGACCACGAAGGTTTCTCCACTTATTTATAAATATAAGAACACCTGTTCCTAGGGCAAACACGACGAAACATGAAGCAATTGCCAGGAACACTGTGGCGTAGCTACCCGAAACATCACGAATATAACCTGAAGAAATAACGATATAATTATTTTAGCGAACTATACCAAATAAAAGTTGCAATTTACTTCATACTTGAAATGTAGTGTTAAAACACCCAATTAACACCCAAGAAGCCAAATTTCAACGGGTCAAATTCCAACGGTGCGCACATCACTATATCACTCCACGCTTCTCACAGCTGGACTTATTCACTCCTGTAATAGCTGACCTTGCCAGCAAGTTGCATATGCAATTTGAACAATTCACTTGTTTATCATAAACACTAAACAACTATCAAGATTACTTTAAAATTCCTTTTTAATCATTTTGATAATGCTCGTTACAGAATCGATATCCGAGAAAATGGTTGTTATTCCCGGTATGTACGGCATGGGGGGGGGGGGGGGGGGCACAGTCTGAAGGTTCTAAAATCCACACAACTGCAACTGTAGACTAACCTACCAGTAGACCCCAATTTGAAAATAGGCAACGTTTCTCTGAACAATAACAATTTCTTAACGTTTGCTGATGGTCTAACCATATACATGTAGGCCTATATAAGCCTATGAAAATCTTTGAGTGGTGCTCACATGAGCCAATTATGGGTATTTAGTGGATAACCGCGTCTCCTGTCCTGAATCTTGATCGTTCTATGGGTAACCTTTACCCGACGAATAACAGATTCGTTTTTACTAGATATCACAGAAATTTCTCTGACTTACTCACAAGTTGCCCAGCACGGATCAATACACAAGAACTGCAACGTCACCACTCTGTTGTCCACTCGTATTTGGCTGGTCGAACTTGAATCGCCAAAAGTATTATCCACATCTTCAATGCTATAAGGCTGTTTCACAATCAGGGTGAACAATTAAATGTGGTTAATGTTGCAAGTGTCTGATAAATTAGCAATTCATGATTAGAGATTGCTGATAGACTGATATCAAAGACACTGTTCATAGGAGCAAAATAAAAAAAGAATTATAATAATCGGACTACAATTTACAAAAAAAAAGCCAATTACGTCTTCAAAAAGTACCTATTTTTAGCTGTTACGATGGGTCATTTGCAATTAAGGTCATAAATATGATGCACTAGCTTTTTATGTCAATGATTTATGGTGAATATGATATAGGTATGTAATTCCCACAACAATATGTCTTCTCTTCTAGCAGGTTCTTCCAAAGAAATGTTCTGAGAAAAAATTATTTAACCATTTTGCTGAAACAGACTTTTGTACACATTTTACTTATTTTTGTTAATGCAATGAAAAACATGTCTGATAAGGCCACATATTACTTTGAAATCACCTACGTGATAATAATGATGAATTTACCATGTTATGACTTAAACATAATAAAGGAGTTGTGCATATGTAACCATTATTAATAATGCCATGGTATTTATAATCATGAGCCCCTTGGTGTCTCCTAATTTTTGTAGTGTCCGAGTGAACCCCCCCCTCCCCATCTGTTTTATTTAGGAATCACAGCATATTCTGTCTGATTTTATTATTTTATGTATGTCCACACTGACATTTATTTTTCAGGGAGAAAATAGCACATTACCCCTTATTATGAAAAGATATGCAAGAATTTGGTGTCAAATGTAGTGTCCGTACCCCTACTGTAGTGTCCGTACCCCCAAGTTATACATTAACCATTGGATAACTGGCTACTTATTAATGATGATAAAACTTCAAAATATGGTACAAAATGTTGTTCTAAATTGTATAAAATACATTCATGTCCTATGATGTTTAGAAAAAACATTGTATATAAATGTATATTCGATAAAGTGATACTAATTAATAGGAGTCAGGCAAGACATTTTGCAAAAATATAATATTAGTAAAGATGCTCTTTGCATTCTAAATGAACAATATTGCTTCCAATATATTGCCTAATATAGCTAATTGCAAAATAATAAATTGTATATGGATTAATATTCTATGGATTAATGTATATGATATATTTTGAGGGGGTATGGACACTACAATACATGCATAATTAACAGAGGTATATTTATAATACGCTCAGTGGATGAAGTGTCAAACATGGATGACAATGAACAAAAGCCAAATAGGAAAAGAACATTTTTACTGTCAGCAAAAATAATTAGGAAAAAAAAACCGTCTAAGAGCTAATAGTCATGCTGAAGCACGTAAGGAAGATGTTGAATGCACGTAACATAGCAGAGAAGCAAAAAAAAAAAATGAAGAATCATCCAAGGCTGGCCCAGCAAGAAAGACTAAAGATGAGAGAAGAAATTAGGGCATACTGATAGAGAGTAAAGGAGAAGCAGAAACCCAACAACAGAAAACAGCAGAGCAAGAGGTGCAAATTAACGAGAGATGAAAAGACTCGAAAAACAAGAATCAAGACTGAAACAAAAATAAATAAATAAATAAGACCAAGCAACAGAAAGAAAACGTTTAAATTAGTCTGGTGAATGAAAGTAAAACTGAATGACACACAACCAAGCACCAGCATCCACTGAAAAACGTGCTGTGGTGTTTCTCCAAAAAACATTTTGATTAATACATGTACTTGTATCCTTTTGGTTAAAGTACTGTTGTTATATATTTACATTGATATTTTTAGAATGTTGGCAAACATAACTGGTAAACAATATGATATTTCAGTTACAAAAGCATCAGTTACTTGAATGTGTAGTGTCCGTACCACCCAATCATAGCCTAAGAGGCCTTCTGTTAATTTGAACGTAACACAAAAAAATAATTAATATTGTGTTCTTAAAATGTTGTATGTCATAGTAAAGATGTTATTCTTTTGATCTGTTACAAAATTAAACAAATGCATCAGAGTTAATTTTTCTCTCAATGTGACCCCTATTTTGTACCCCTGATTGTGAAACAGCCGTATATGCTCTAACTACTGTAACATCACACTACCGTTATTCATCAGTTCTAGACCACGAAGGTTTCTCCACTTATTTATAAATATAAGAATACCTGATCCTAGAGCAAACACGCCGAAACATGAAGCAGTTGTCAAAAACACTGTGAAGTAGCTACCAGAAACATCACGAACGTGACCTGAAGAAATAATATTAATATTTAAGCGAGCTATACTAAAGAAACTTTAAAATTTAATTTATACTTAAATTGTAGTACTGAGACATCCAACAGCCCAGCGGCGTTTTAACTTCTAATAAGACTATACTTAAATCATAACTGATTTGGAAAAAAATAGATCGGAAGAGGAAAACATTGAAGGTTACTATCGTTCAACAAGAAAAGGAAAAACAAATGCCGCATGTCCATTGAAGCAACGAAACATTCAAGATTTGTCAATCATTATACTTATACATATAACTTAGATCAAAGAGATTTAATTTATTTTTAAAGCAATTAACATTTGCATCTAGCGTACGTGGATCATGTTGTCATTTTGAATACCTAATCCTACCTGCAAAATATGGTCCTACAGCAGCCCCGATACCTTCACTGATGCGCATTGTCATGAATAATGTAGCGACATTCTCTCCGTCCATGATCTCATAGTTGACGGAAAAGTATACCAAACAGCCAAAGCTAAAACCGGATACTAAAAGACATTTTGAAATTTGTTTTAAACCAAAAGATATGTTTACTTTAAAGCACGCTGTTGGTCATTATTTATATTCAAAAAGGAATTCTAAGAGCAATGCTTGGATTTTTCACAGCAAAACCTGATTACGAGTGTCACAACATTGTTTTATTTCTTAGAGTACAACTGACATATATTTAATCAATCAACACTAAAAATTACTATCAAAAACAATTACAACTAACTTCTAAAGAGGCCAGATGATTAAAGTTAACAGTGAAATAAAAGAAAAAGAAAAGTAAAATAAAAACACTTACCGGCACCATATACAAATATGGCCGTCAAAGATGTAGAATATGCTGCAGCAATATTATTGATAATGAGTACCGTAGCTGCTACCAGGTTCACCACCAGCAAGTTTCCCTTGAGATAGTCCCCAACACAAGAGGATAACGCCTCACTAACCATGCCCATGATCCCAAAAATGGCCATCACATACCCTGCTTCGTCTTCCTTATAGCCAAGGTCAATAGTATGTTTGGGCTGAAAGAAAACTAATTCTAAGTAAATGCTGGTTTTTATTAATAACTTTGACATATTTTAGCCCGTGTTAAAATAAAAATAAATCGCTTCGTGCAGTTTTTATCTGGCCATCGCTGTGTTGCGTTTAACAGCACAGCGATACAATTATCCTAGTCCAATTAAACAATGAGTTAAAGAACAGATAAGAAGTCAAAATATTAAGACCAAGCTTGTGAACTGTTGAAGTTACTAAACTTTAAAATTGGTAACGTTTTTAAGCCACCCGATACTTACCAGTGTTACAAAAGGCAAGCCATAACCGAATCCTTTACAGCACACTGCTATGGCCCATATGCCATAAATGCCCACTTTAGAACACGTAGACCAGGCTGGTTTCTGTAACAAACCTGATCTGAAAACCGGATAATGTGAAACAATTATTTTTTTTTATTTCGAAACTGACTTATTTTCAATATACGTTTAATTGCTTTAATTGCTGCAAATGTACACCTGAGGGTCACCGGCACCCTAGCCAGTCCTTACGAATAATCTCCATGGCTGAAGCCTTTATTTATCTTATTTTTATCACATCAAAGCGCTATTCCTATTTCTCAGGTTTCTATTTAATATTGAGTGAAATAGACTGCAAAACCAGAGAGTATTAAATTATTTTAAATATTTTATTTTATTCGGTTACGGCAGACTAATGTATTGTAGACTTGGTATTGTGTTTATTTCTAGGGAGGAAGAGCATATTGCTCCTAGGCAAATTGCCTCCTGTTTGAGTGAAAAATCGTAATTATAAATGTGTTTTTAAAAAATCTGCTGAAAAATTCTTATGTATCACGTTTTATGTGGCCACACCCCTGCATTTCAAACTTCAACGCACTCCTTAATGGCACCCTTGTCCCGTACGTCTGATGACGTCATTGGAGGATTCCCGAATACCAGAAGTAGGAGAAGACCAAAACATGTTAAGGTAGCTGCATAAACTCTAAACACCCCTCGCCATCCCAGTAATGTGGTTTCACACATCTTCGCGTTAACGTTATTAAAGATTGACCCTCCTGAAAGTAATTATTAAAGTTATCTCTATCATAGTAAAATTCAAGAGAAAGAAAGAAAGAAAGAGAGAGAGGGTGAGAAAAGAGATTTAGAGAGAGGTTAGATTTTACAGGTTTCATTATATGCTTAGATATCATAATATGGTAATATTATTTCAATGTAAATAAATGTATAAGACGATGCTTCACTGCTGTGACTACTTACCCAGATGTTCCATTACATTCAACGCACTGGTTGAAAACACATGGAATCTATGTGTCCAAGGGAACCAAAGTGCTATAAGTGAATACATACTTATACAACACAACCCATCTCCAGTTCCATATATAATGCCAAAGGCTATAGCCACAGAATGGGGACCATTAGCAAAAGATGCCAGAACCAGTCCCAGCACTGTTAAAGATACCCCGACAGCTATAAACTGGCGAAGGCTAAGTTTTCCAGCCCCAGACAAAGCCATGAATACTAGGTTACTCAGTGACATCTTAAATACACAGTACACTGTAAAAGGTACCCCTGAAAAACAGAAGTGAATGCAACTCGAATATATCTGATACTTAATAAAGAACGAGACCAATCTTAATTGATAAAGGCTACTCTTTAAATGGCTGCGTGTCAGTGTCTAACATTTTTTAGCCCATAACCTGCCTCACCAGAAAATACGAAAAGGTCACGTGATACACAATGTTTAAGGTTTTTATCAATGATTTGTATTCTTAAAAAAAAATGACAAAAAAAAAAAAAAAAAAACAGGCGGCCATCTTCGATTATGTCCGTTTCCATGGTTACGTAGGCAATTCCATTTCGACATCAAGGCTTACCTAGACCAGCAGACCTTGAGTTTTAAATTGATATATAATTCAGGTCTGTTTAAAACGAAGACATTTAACTCCTTAAATAAAGCACTTTTTGGGGATTTGCCACCCACCTATATGAATTATCTTTCCTTACTAAGTTATTGTATTATATTTGTTAACTTTCCACACACTGTCAAGAATATTTGAATAGAAATATGCATTTGCATAAATTATTTACTATGACGTACACTTGGAGATGTAGATCTTAACATGTGTCGCAGGCAAAACTAAGCAAATGCAGCGTCAACGTCAAAAGCAGAGCATCCTTGGGCTAAAGTTTTTAAATTAGATATTTCTTTAATATGACAATGATAGAAATGTGTCATATTTTATCATTGTTTTTAATATCATATCTATCGACCTCCCCCCCCCCCCCAAAAAAAAAAAAATATATATACAAATTCAGAAATTTTCTCACCAAGCTGCGCAAGGGACGAGTCCGGAAAATATTTATCCTGTCGAAAACATAAGATCATCGTCCCCCAGGATGCCTCAATGCCCGCTGAGGACGTAAATGATAGAATTGAAATCCCAAGTACCACCCAGCCTCTGTATATATCAGGAGATACCATCGTTATAACTAATCAGGCTACATATCACTTGATACGTCCTTTGTAAGAATGTGACAGTTCTTTGCTTTAGAGCTAGTCCGTGTGCTGCCGTTTACTTTTGGATGAATTCAGGAATAATTGATCCCCAAATGAACACTATTTGTACCAATCAGATTGCTGTTCCTCGCGAACTCTAAATTTCCATTTGAGTCATGAATAGAAGAATTTCAATCCGGTACAACATAATGTCTGTAAATACCCGGAGCTGTCGTTGTCGTGCTTCTTTCCTCTAGTTTGATAATCGTGAATTTCCAAGAGTGGGTGCTCAGCATTTTATAGATGAATCCATGGAAATAATACACCACTGGAGTGAACATCAGTTCATCTATGCCGCGACGAGTGGCACAGTTGACCTGATCCATGTAGTATCCTTTAGTGAGTGTCAAAGGTTTCAAACCGTAATTCAAGACTCGGTGAACTCTTTTCAACATTTTTTGCGCTCTATTAATCCATTTAACTTTTCAGGTTAAAAATAAAAAAAAAAGTTTTCCGTCCTTACGTGTTGAAACATTAGCCCCATAAATCCGCAATAGTATGACTAAATGTTCACATCCTCAAACGTAAACGGTTCACCGCATATATTCAGTACATTCAATCTTGCGGTTTTCTTTTTTCAATATCGTATGTGTATCAGACCGTCAGTGTAGACTGGCTGTGTGCGGGGTCATGTGGGCGGTATCACAAAGACATTAACATAGAGGTATCTGCCTTACCAAGAAATACATATCGCATTGCATAATAAGCGTTCTTTTGTGGGCAAACATCATGCAACCCGCATGAGTGTCTATGTCTGTATTCCAATGTTACTGATTCATGTTCATACCGTATTTGTATGTATATTGGATATAATTAATATGCATTGGACTGCATGCAAACTTATCAACAACAGCTCTGTGTTGTTTACAATGATTTATTATGAACAAAACAAACTGTACTCCACAGCAATGCTGACAACTGTAAAGAAAAACAAATGATGTAAAAATGAATTATAAAATGATCTCATATCATGAACGTCTGTGTTCTTTACATAAATATCTCATAGATTTTGCGGATATTCTTTATACAAGTCTTAAAGAATAGTCCTTCAACTCTATAATTCTTAAGTAGCATCTTTACTTAAAAGTTACACATAATCTCAATTATAAACATCTTGCCGACTTTGGGATTTTATAGGCAAGAATGCAAGCAACTGGATTCTAAATGTGCCAGCTATTGACTAGCGCAACTACCACAATGAAAAATGCACTGTAATAACTTGTAACTTTAAACCTAAATTTGAGAAAACGCTCAAAATGCACAAGTAGTATTGTTAGGCTTTATCAACAAGTTTTAACAATATATCACATCATGCCATGACAATCCCATATACTGCCTTGATTGGTTTGCCTTTTCTCATTTGTGTTATTTAAGAGTTTTGTTTAATTAAGTTGTAAAGCTAAGTATATTTTAGTTTCTTTAGTTCATGTCATTTCATCACAATGTTCTTTAATTATTTCTTTTAAATCTTAGTCCATGTAATTTTTTCTGTTAGTTCATTTACATTATTTTGATTCGCTCTCTCACGTGTATGGCATATATATTTACAATTGAATTTGTTATTTAAGAGTTAAGTTTTATTTGTTATTTAAGAGTTTAGTTTTACTTTGTTAAAAGGATTAAGTATATTTTAGTTTGCTTAGTTTAGGTTATTCTATTACATATAGTTTAACTACTGTAACATATCGCACGACCGCTCTTCATCAGTTCTAGACCACGAAGGTTTCTCCATTTATTTATAGATATAAGAACACCTGTTCCTAGGGCAAACACGCCGAAACATGAAGCAATTGCCAGGAACACCGTGAAGTAGCTACCCGAAACATCACAGACGTAACCTGGAGAAATAACGGTAATAATATTTAAGCGAGCTATACCAAAGAAACTTTACAATTTACTTGATACTTGAATTGTAGTGTTTAAACACTCAATTAACACCCCAGGAGCGTTTTAACTTCCAATAAGACTATACTTCAACCACAGCTGATAAAGACAAAAATATGGGTCGAAGTTAATGTTTTTCAAAGAGAAAAAGAAAAACAAATGTCGTGCGTCCACTGAGGTCTTTAAACAAAAACAGCAAAATATATTATATCTGTCAACAATGATTTAATTTTTACATAACTTGGGGCAAATATATTTGTTTTTGAAAGAAGGTTAGGTTGGCCATGTTGCCATTCTAAAAAAACAAATTCTACCTGCCAAATATGGTCCAACAGCAGCTCCGATACCTTTACTAAGCCGCATTGTCATGAATAATGTAGCGACATTCTCTCCGTCCATGATCTCATAGTTGACGGAAAAGTACACCATAAAGCCAACGCTAAAACCTGATACTAAAAAACATTTTGAAAATTGTTTCAATCATAAAAGATATTTTACCTTAAAGCACGCTCAAATTTAATTTGTTCATGATTTATATTCAAAAAGGAATTCTAAGAGCAATGTTAGAATTTATTGCTGGGTTTGAACATTTAAAATTACAGCAAAAACCTGATTACGAGTAATACGCCATTGTTTTATTTCTGGGAGTACAATTGACATCGATGCAATCAATCAACGCTAAAAGTACTTGCACAGACAATTACAGCTACCCTGTAGAGACGCCTGATAATAAAAGTGAACAGTGAAATATAAGACAAAGAAAAGAAAAATAAAAACACTTACCGGCACCATATACAAATATGGCCGTTAAAGATGTAGAATATGCTGCAGCAATATTATTAATAATGAGTACCGTAGCTGCTACCAAGTTCACCGCCATCAAGTTCCCTTTGAGGAAATCCCCGACAAAAGAGGATAACGCCTCACCAACCATACCCATGATCCCGAAAATGGCCATTACATACCCTGCTTCGTCTTTTGTATAGCCTAGGTCAGTCGTATGCTTTGGCTGCAGAAAATGAGCGACAATTAAATGCTGGTCTTTCGAATAATAAAGCTGACATTTTAGCCCGCAGTAAATTAAAGAAATTATTATACTGATGCACCTATGAAGAACTTCTATAATAATGTATATTGGATTAGATATTGCATCTTAATGGTAGATCTCCATAGATGCATCGGTATTATAACTTATTTTCTTCTTTAATATCTATACGGTGATTTGATATGGCTATCGCTGAGGCGTGTTTAGCGTTTAGCAGCACAGTGATACTGTTAACTTTTAGACCAATTACACAAAAGGGCTAAAGAAACAAAAAGTAGTCAAAACATAAGGACCAAGCTTGTGAACTGTTGAAGCTACTAAACTTTGAAATTATTAAGGTCTTTTAGCCACCCGATATACTTACCAGTATTACAGAAGGCAAAATATAACCGAATCCTTTACAGCAGGCTGCCATGGCCCATAAGCCATGAATGCCCACTTTAGAACACGTAGACCAGGGTGGTTTCTGTAACAAACCTGATCTGAAAAAAAAAGGATCATTTGAAATAGATAGTTTTGAATTTTGAAACAGACTTCTCTTCAATATAATTGCTATAATTGCTGGTCGTAGTGAATGGTCTCCATGGATGAAGACTTCATTTATCTTGTTTCTATCATATCAAAGCGGGATTCATCTTTCGCAGGTTTCTATTCAGTATTGAGCGACATAAACAGTAAATTCAGTCAGTGAATTATTTAAAATATTTTGTCATTTTATTCGGTCACGGCAGAATAGTGAATTGTACACATGGCATTGTTTTTTTTTTTTTTTTTTTTGTTTTTGTTTTTGTTTTTTTTTTCTAGTACGGAAGAGCATATTGCACCTAAGAAAATTGCTTCCTGTTTTTGTGCATAATTGTAATTATTCATGTGTAATAAAAAAAACTTCCGTTTAAAAAAATCTAGTGTATCAAGTGTTTTAAGTGGTCGTGTCTCTGTACATCAAACATCAACCCACTCTTTATTGGTGCCTTTGCCCCGTTCATCTGATGACATCATTGGAGGATTCCCAAATACCAGAACTTGAAGAAGACCAAGACATGCAAAGGTAGCTGCATAAACTCTAAACGCCCATCGCCAACCCAGCAACGTGCTTTCACACATCTTCGCGTTAATGATATTAAAGATGGACCCTCCTAAAGAAAACGGTTATAGTTATCTATATCATGGCAAGATTCGGATAAAAAGAGAGGGGCCGCATAGAGATTTAGAGAGATTTTACAAGTTTTATAATCTGCTTGGATATTATCAGGCCTACCCAACTACCAGACTCAGCATCGAATGATCCTGTATTCACCAGAAGATCGGACCACACTACCCGTTTTCAAGGTGTGTATCAGGACGCGCTTCGAAGTATCAGACGCGACACCGCTCTTGCCTAGTACGCGATATGATAGTGATGATTCTCAGCGGGGTTGGAAAGTAGTGCCTCTCATCTCAAAATTTGTTCTTGGTATGATACTGTGAAATGCGTACTGACGCACACCTTGAAAACGGGTAGTGTGGTCCGATCTACCGGTAATTTCGGGATAATTCGGTACTGAGTCTGGTAGCTGGGTAGGCCTGATTATGTATTGATGTGATGTGCATGTGATATTATCCATTACCATGTTAATGATTATATTACTTAATTGGGCAATATTTCACTGTTGTGGGTACTTACCCAGCGGTTCCATAACATTCAACGCACTGGCTGAAAACACATGGAATCTATGTGTCCAAGGGAACCAAAGTGCTATAAAGGAATACGTACTTATACAACACAACCCATCTCCAGTTCCATATAAAATGCCAAAGGCTATGGCCACAGAATGGGGACCATTAGCAAAAGATGCCAGAACCAATCCCAACACTGTTAAGGTTCCCGCAATAGCTATAAACTGGCGAAGGCTAAGTTTTCCAGCCCGAAACAAAGCCATGAATACAAAGTTACTCAATGAGATCTTAAACACACAGTACACTGTATAAGGAATCCCTGAAAAACAGAAATGCAAAAAAAAAAAAAAAAACTCGAATATATATTTTATACAAAACGAGATAAAAAGGTTACCCCCTTTAGAATTTAGGAAGAAGAATATATGCATTTGCATTAATAATTCACTACAGCGTACACTTTGGGAATTATATTGTCGTATGGGTGGCAGGCATAACTCAGGAAAAACAGGGTCAACAGAGTGTCTTTAAGTTTTTACAGGATGGTCCATAAAAATGACCTATTTTACTCCCCATCTCAATTTTGGTGTAATTAATATATTTCCAACTTTCTTTCACCAAATTATTTCATAAGGATGACAAATTTATCCTTGCAATTCTACAGAATTTGGAAACCTTTAAGCTAGTCATAATTTAATCATCATCATTTCATGCCGCACAGACTTTCCTTGGCCACAATACTCGCCAGATGTCAATCCCCCAGAGTTCTTCTTTTGGGGGTGCCTTAAGGAAAGAATCTTTGCTTACAACTCTACACACTTTCAAGACCAACATTCAAAGAAAAGTAAGGTACAGTCCGGCTGACATAATCGCAAGAGTCATTGTCTGTTTCAATGCCGTTATTCAGCAGCGAAGAGCGTGGATAGAGCATATTTTCAATTATTGAAATTTGACTGGCTTAGATGTTTCCAATTTTTGCAGAATTTGCAAAGATAAAATGGTCATCCTGAAATGATTTGTTGAAAGAAAGTTTGAATATCTTAATTAAATGTATATCAAAATTGAGATGGAAAATAAAAATAGGTCTTTTTTTATGTACCACCCTGTGGGTTAGAATTTTCAATAATATGACAATAATTGGAATGCATCATATTTTTTATATAATTATTTATCGTAAGTAGCAACCCTCCTCTCCCCTGAAATTACATATACTGAAAGGTTCTCACCAAGCTGCGCAAGGGACGAGTCCGGAAAATATTTATCCTGTCGAAAACATAAGATCATCGTCCCCGAGGATGCTTCAATTCCCGCTGAAGACATAAATGATAGAATCGAAATCCCAAGTACCACCCAGCCTCTGTATATATCAGGAAATATCATCGCTATACCTGAGCAGGCTACAGATCACATGACATGTCCATTATAAGAATGTGACAGATCTTCGTTTTAGAGCTGGTCCGTGTGCTGTCGTTTACTTTTGGATTAATTCTCCAATTGATCCCCAAATGAACATTATTTGCCCCAATAAATTTGCTGTTCCTCGCGAAACCTTAATACCTACTTGAGTCATCAATAAAAGCATATTTGCAGTCCAGTGCAACATTTTCTCTGTACATACTAGGAGCTACCGTTGCCGTTCGAGTTTGATAATCCTGAACTTCAAAGAGTGATATTCAGGTTTTTATGGATGAATCTAGATGGAAATAATACACCACTGGAGTGAACATCGTTTTATTCACCTGTTCTTGTAGGAGGCACAGTGTCCTTAATTTAGTGTCAAAGGTTTAAAACCGCTGTTCAAGACTCGGTGAAATCTTTCCAATATTTGTCGCGCTTCATCTATTTTACTTGTCAGGTTTATAATGAAATTCACAAGTTTTCCGTCCTCTCTTCTGAGAATATTAACTCAATAAACCCATGAAAATATTAGTAAATGTTCATGTCCTCAAATGTTATGGGGTCGCTGCGTATATACCGTGGATTCAGTCTAGCGAATTTTTAATTGAGTCCGTTCATCAGACCGTCAACTCGCTGTGTGGGGATCGTGTGGGCGGTGTCATATTACTCCTCTTTTGGCCACAGAAGGAGATATAGGGTGGATGAGTACAAAGTATAAAAGACGGTTGCACATTTTAAGATTGTGAAATAGGTTGGCTAGCATGGGTAACGACAGGATCGCGAACCAATTTTTCCTGAAAGCTTAGGCTTTGGCAAAAGATGGAAGCAATAATTTTTTGTACCCATGCCTGTCTTTCACGTTTAAGCTGTTTGCAAAATGGAGCATTTGTTTAATGTATTAGTGATTTGTGTAGAGCAATTTCATTAGCTTTGTTATTGAAATAGACTTATGAAGATTCTTTTGCCTATAGCTACTTATATTTCTCTAGTCTTACCAGCCAATATTTCGTCTGCTTGCAGTCAGACTTCATCAGGGAATGAAGTTGTGATGGATGTGACCATCTATCACCCCCTCTGGAGTGCTATTAAGAAACGTAATAAAAAAATCTGGCCCCAGCCAACACCAGGAACAGCCGGGGAATTGTATAACACCAACAACCCTAGAAGATATTAAATCTTGGAGACAGACCCACGTGACCTACAGCCTAAACTTCTTGAAGCGATTAATATCCCCTTACAGTACTGCCAAGGTTCAATCTTTCCTATTTATATGATCGCACGGAAATGATGTTGACACTGTTTGGTGACACGTTTTATTTATGTTAAACGATGCAATAAAACCGAAGCCGTGTGACGGCAATGGTTATCCATTAGAAACCGCGGTCCGTTCCCGATTGCGACTGATTTCCGATACAGGTGAGCAGACAAGCGAAAGAAAAGAAAGAAAGACGAACACGAGACGAACGGAATCAACACCCCAACTTCAGGTCAATAATTTAGTTATGATTTCGTCTGTCACATATTGCTTGATAATCCCCTAGCTTGTCGGTGAATAGCTACTCCGGTACTAAGGTAATTTTCCCTTCAATTTCTACCTGTCGTAAATAAAACTTATTGTATTGTTTTTTATAGTAAATCTTAGATGCACCTTCTACCTAGATGGTTGTATAATCTTTAATCGACGAATACGGAATTTGACTTTTCTTAACAACCGACCCCTTGCTTTGTGTGTGTGATACAGGTGTACACTCTCACCTGAGCGATATACAGGTATGCCAGAATTCTCTGAGTATGCGCGAATGGTGTTTAGGACGTATATCCTGAAAGGCTGGCGGTGTATTATCTGAACATATGCACCGGGAGAAAATAAGTCGCATTTCCCCGAAAAACACCCCTATATCGCCACGGTCACATAACATCTCTATATATGTAAAGGTTTACATTTTAGATTAGAATATATCACTATACAATTGACCAAAAATGTCCATTATATACGATTACTATACAATTATTAGGCAATAGCCTTTTTGTCAAATAAGTGCTAGAAACATTAAAGGTTATGCAAATATTGGTTTCAGTTACTAAGTAAATTCGAACTAAATTAATTAATAGTTTCCCCCACAAAATGCTTTGTAAGTAGGCCTAATACTAGTACTCTGACATGTTTGAAAGTTTTGAAACGTAAGTTGACTTCGTGTAATAAAGTTCAAATGTGTGAGTGCTTAAAAAGGATAAACTTTAAAAAAAAAAGTATAATCCTAGAAAACGTAGGACGTATTAAGATACTTCATATAGTAGCCTATATTACCACTTCATAGGATAAGAATTACTACTTCATGATAGAAGGCACTTCATTGGTTAAAAAATAAGGACCCTTAGGAGACTTCATAGTATATTACCAGTATATTACCAAACAACACGAATAATATCACAGCAATTCCCAGTACAATCCAGACTCTGTAAATACCAGGCGCAGTCATTATTGTGCGTAATTTCTTAATAATACCTAACCTTAAAGTAAAGTTTTTATCAAAACTTAGGATGCTAATAATAATAATAATAATAATAATAATAATAATAATAATAATTTTTTTAATTTCTTATATAGCATATTCTATTTTCATACATTCCAGTGCGCCTTACAATTAAAAAATATTTTTTTCAATTACAGAACTAAAATAGCCTATAGGCTTAATATAAAAGTTCAAGAAACATTAAGGCAATTTGTTCCACAGTTTTGGGGGGATAAACAACAATAAAAATCCTGTTTCCATAAATGTGTTACGCTGTCACAGTGGTTGAGTGTAAAATTGCTATGATAATAGGCCTATATAGTTTGCCTTTGTGGTTCAAACTGACGTGTAGGCCTAGGGTTGGCAATGTAACTTGGTGTATTTTCTTAAATATAATTCTCAAATACAAGTATTGAATACAGACTTTAAATAAAACTCTTTGTCTACTTGGTAACTGTCATGAAGCTCTTTTAAGACTGGATTAATATATTATGTTCCAAGCTTTGCATGAATTTTATCTTTGAATTAATTTACTTGCACTCATTCCAAAGAGTTATACATGCATTAAAGAATACAAAAGTTCTGGTCTGGTCTTGTTCTTTGGATAGTGCGTATCCATTTTGGGCCTATAGCTAATTTCTGGAATCGGCCTTAGCACTGATCATTGAAAAACCTTTAGAGCGGAAGATCCGCAGCGAAATGTCGATGCTCTATTTTTAACTTCTCTGTCTGGTCTAAATCTAGGTCATGGGTTTAAGGTCAATTTGACGTCATCATGGGATTTCCTCTCGTTCACAACAATCATGGCGACGTGTAAGTGCTCTTCTAAAACATTTCGTTTTGTATGCTAGCTGTCCCGGGAATGACTATTTTATCAGCTCATGCAATGAACTAAATGTTAAACCAAGGTTGTACTAGAGCATTAATAACAGGAAACAAACAACTGAGCTGTCGCAGCTAGATAGAGTATCCTACATGTAACTCTCTCAGAATTAAACTCCCTTGAATTAAAAGTTGAACCAAGCACTGGTACCAGTAGTATGGTATTACTAGTATCAGTAAAAATAAATGCTGAAGTTCTCATGGCCGTCTAGCTTTCAGATTAGGCCTCATTCAGCTTGCAGTTGGAGCATCGAAGGCTGACAACATTTCCAGAGCTGTGAGGTCCATCAAAGAGGCCGCCAGTGGAGGGGCCAAGATTGTCGCTTTGCCTGTATGTGCATGACACTGCTACAGGGGTAGTCAGGGGGTGGGTGGGGGTTTGCTGGGAGAAGGGTGAATCAGGAGGAGTGGTGCCTGAATAAAGATAGTGGAGAGTTGTGGGTAGGCAGGTAGGGGTGGGGTTGTCTAGCACATTGGGTGGCGGGGTATAACAAAATACTAGTATATCTTTTATACGTAGTTATATAACTAGTGGTGCAAATAGTGAAGTGGGGGAGAGTGTTGTTGCTGTTTGAGCATATCTGGAAGATATGTGCACACTTGAGCGAGTATATATACTAGTACAGTGTGTATATTATAAAAGGAGGTTAAGATGAGGGAATCCTTGTATTACGTACTTGTACTGTGCATTGATGTTTTTCGCCTAAACATGCCTACATAACTTTTGAAAATTGTACAAAAATGTATATATATTTCAACATGTTTCTAAACTCAAGAATTTTTTTATGATTCATTGATTTGCATATTCCAGGAATGTTTTAACTCTCCATATGGTACCAGTTATTTCCCAGAATATGCAGAGAAGATACCCGGAGAGTCGACCAATGCCTTGGCAGCTGCTGCCAAGGAGAGCAAAGTATTCTTAGTCGGAGGTAAGTTTAATGATGGCTCTTAATCAGGTCCAACAGGACAGTCTCTGATCAAGAGAGAGATAGCTAGAAAAACAAAGGAAAGTTAATTCTGAAGTTGCAGGCTTTTGTATGAATTTATCATTATTCTTTTTACAAAGTTTCGAGAGCATGTGCTTGCATCACATCATGTATGAATTCAATCAAATAAGTATACAGTGTTACAGTAATTATGGAAAAATGCATTATTTTTTTCTTTATGTTATCTTGGCAACGCCAATTTTCATTTCAGATGCTAATATACCAGCACCAGTGCCTAGCTTAAATTTAAAAAGGACATATCTTATTGAATGCTATAAAGTGTATCTTTCACGTTGATATGGAACTGTGTATTCCTGGCAACATTCTTTAACTTTCTGCATATTTGTGTCCATACATGTGCAGCAGCAACATCTTTACGGCTGTTTGAAAGACTGTTTGAAATTCTGCACCGTACTACATGATTTGTCTAAATGCTTTTTGCCATTGCTTGGTTTTCTGCAGCAGAATATTCTTGTTTTATTATTTGTGTCAGGATCTATCCCTGAAGAAGATGGGGGAAAGTTTTACAACACTTGCACTGTGTTCAACCCGGCTGGTGAAATGGTGGCCAAACACAGAAAGGTGGAGCCATGTTTTTTTTTTGTTTTTTTTTTTTTAGTTGTAGTCTCTATGTTCTTTATTTAACTCTCTTGATTTTGGATTTGTAGAGTGATAGAGTAGCATGAGCTTTATATCATTTTTTTGTATTTGAATTTGGATGTGTTGGTTCACTGTGTATAAAGTTCATTACAAATTTGTTGAAAATTGAGGCAGAAAAAAATGTGGGAAATATTTATAATATATGTAAGCTTTGTTGTGCATTTGAAAATTAGTGCCTGACAAAAGCGTGATATATGTTCATAATTAAAAATAAAACAAAAAAGCCAATCCGTGCTGTTGACATGGAATTAATAATGATTTGCTGCAGTTACATTAGCAGCATTGAGGTTGAGGCTTTAATTCATAGATTATTAATATACTATGTATAGAAATTAATCAATACACATTAAGTCATAAATATAATGTTATGAGAACTTATGAGATTTGAAAAAATCAGTCACCATTATCTTTTTTGTTTTCAACTTAAAGGTGTCTTTCAGATAAGCTTTAATTTGTAAGTTTTGTTGTGCAATTTTTGTTTTGCTGAATGTTGCCTGTACATTTTACAAAATTTTGTGTTCAAGTTAGAAAGTTGTAATAATTTCATTCTAGATCCATCTGTTTGACATAGATGTTCCTGGGAAGATAAGATTCCAGGAATCTGAAATTTTGTCACCTGGAAATAGTTTTACAACTTTTGAAACATGTAAGTGGGATATAATTACTTAATATCAGTGTTTTCTTTCTGTTGCTAATTTGCTTTTATTTAAGTGAGTTTTTCCTACTGCAGAAATGGTGAAAAGTCTAGAACTTTTTCAGAATTTTTCTTGTGTACAAAAAGGAAAGGTGTTATATATATCAATTAACAGAAATAGTATGATAATATAAAAACAAGCATTTTACTAAATTTGTTTTTCATTTCTCTTTTCAGCATTTTGCAAGATCGGCATTGGTATATGCTATGACATAAGGTTTGCAGAACTGGCTCAGATTTATGCCAAAATGGGTTTGTGTTTTCAGTTTACATGAAGAAGTTGAAAGAATTAGATATTTTAATATAGGTTTGGTTTTATTTGTGATTGGAAACAAATTCTTTATTTAGATTATAAGGAAGTTTTTGACATTGAATGCGAAAACCAAGCTTTTATTGCAGGTTAACAAAGGTTCTCTACTGTTCGAATTCAAAGGACATAAATGAATAGATTTATTAATTTGCATTAGGAATGCTAGTTTTTGTGAAGTGTGGAAAATGAAATGTCGATGAAGTGATGTTATGCATCTTATTTAACGGAAGACATTTTTACTGAAGAAAAGTAAATACATGTTAATTACAATGGTGAATATCAGATTATGTTTCTTTTTAATTTTTTTAATTTTTTTTTAAAATTTTTTTTTAAGGTTGTAAACTGATAATTTACCCTGGTGCATTTAATATGACCACTGGTCCCGCACACTGGGAGATCCTGCAACGAGCACGTGCTCTGGACAACCAGCTCTTTGTTGCGACAGTGTCCCCAGCACGAGACGAAAAAGCCACGTATGTTGCTTGGGGACACAGCACAGTGGTTGATCCTTGGTAAGCGGTAATTGCCACAGTATCACATCTAACGCAATGTGGTCAGAAATGTTGAATGTTGAAAGTTAAATACGAAGTGATTCTATAATAACTACTATTTCTTTAAACTTGATAACACATCGAACACACTGTGCATCAGAATGCCTGTGACAGCAGAGTTGCTGAGTTTTTATACAAGATGACACTATAACAACCTGCACCCTCCCTTTTAACTGGAAGTCACATCTCATGCCTGTAGCCAGCAATTTCCAAAGGAGGGTTCTTTTTCTGAAAAAGTGGATCTTTTCCCATAAAAATTTCATGTACCTAGATCAAATTTTACCCTAAGTGGTTCTTTTCCCAGCAAAAGGGGTGGTTATTTCAAACCCCCCGAACCCCCCTGGCTACGGGCCTGCATATAACACTGTAGATTTGTCAATTTTATACATTGACATGATCAGAATTTTTTTACAATGGCATGGTTAATCTAGCAGGATGCAGCGGACAGAGATATGCTCACAATAAAATAATCCTGTTGCTTCTTATGTTGTTGTACAGTAATCACCTGTTGACAATATTGGTCCATACATAGATCAAGTTTTTTTTAAGAAAGTGTTCAATATTCCTTATCTAACTATGCATATGTTATCAAGTTGATCTATCTGTATAACAAAAAGGAATTTGTTTTCTAATGATGCATTTCTTTTTTTCAAGGGGGAGTGTTGTGGAGACAACTGAACATGAAGAAAAGATTTTATTAGTGGATATAGGTAAATGACTCATCTTGTTAAAATATATGTGATTATTATAGTTAAGTATAACTTTCACATAGTATTATGCATTTAAATTGATTTTAGTTGTTTCTTCTGTATATCAGTTGGGATTCCAGGCCAACTGCAACATTCCATCTACAATTTCTTCATCAAAAAAAAAGTTACCAATAAAAGCTGAATCACCAATACTGGCCAGAACCATTACGTAATAAAATCATCTATAGCTACATTTTGTACTCCTATCTCTTAGTTTAACAAATAATATATATTTATTAAAATAATAATAAAAGTTATAATGAAGAAGAAGAAATTAGAAAAAAAGTTCAGTTGTATAATAATTATTTATATTTGTACTGACCATGTCAGCCATAAGATTCTTCACACACACACATACACACACACACACGCACACACACACACCTGTGGTATTAATCAGTTTCATGTTAATACCACCTCATATTTTCAGACCTGAATAAAATGGAAGAGGTCCGGACCTCCATACCTCTCACAGTACAGAGAAGGAAGGACATGTATGATGTGAAGGAAGTTTGAGTGGCGTGGTGGATGACCAGAGGACCAAGATGGACAGAACGAGGGATGTGAAGAAGGAATGGAAAAAGTGAACTTCAAAGCATTTAAAGTGATGTTCACAATGCAATATTGTAAAATTTCTTATCGAGAATTTCCACCATTACCCCTAACATAATCAGATAGTAGTGTTTTCTTCTACTGTTTTGCAGTACTTACATGGTAACTGTTGGTGTGGTTGACAAATTACAAAGTATAATGTGAAAAAATGTTTTGGAGATCATGTGAACTGTCTATAGTACCGTGATTGTGCAAGTAGTATCTGTGACATGGTATTGTAAAACATGATTTTATTGATTATGAAAAATATGACCTTTCCAATACAATGTTAGTGGGAGTCATATTTGAGTGAAAAGGGGGTGTACAGGATTTATGTCTGTATTTTTTGATCGAAAATAATGGTACAGACAGACAAAATGGTACACTTGAGCAATAATTTTCCTTCACTTCAGATTTCCCAATTATTTTTAAAAAGCATTCCTTCAGATGGGGCCAGATTATCACTGTCTTCCCCAGCACTTGCCTCTTATAATTGTAATATAATTTTCAATTAAAAAAAAATTGATATGAAATACGCTGCTCTCTTTTTTTCTCAAAAACTGAGGCATGTCAAATGGATGTTGTAAATAATAAAAATTACTTGTCAGCAGGTGTCAATAACATTCTTATCACTTTTAGCATTCTGATACCACTACTGGCAATTTTAATCATTGTGATGCCATTTGTTTAAATTGGTTAAAGGTAACAGTAATTTTTTTCTTTGGTTGAAGAATGGAGGATATTGTTTTATTGATTAAAATGTAATGGCATGGATAATATGTAAATGAACCAAGGGTTCTACAATCTTTACAAAAAATGTGCCATGTGCAGACTCTGACAGAAGGAAATCTTTATACTCCAGATCATTTGTGCAATTTTGTAACATCCAAACAGATTTCCCATGTGATATAGCTACCAGAAATATAATTATATTTTTGTGACCTTATTAAATGAAATAAAATATGTATTATACAAATGGATAAGATGAATTAAATAAAAGATTTTAAAGTAATTTTATTACATTTATTTTTTGACAAGGCAGCAAAGCTGTCAAATGTACAGACAAAAAGCAGACAATAACAATGCACAAAACGGGCTACTGTCAATTCTGATGCAAAAATACATTATGCTTAACTGCAAATTCAACATCAAATTTTAATTATGCTCAACAGGTAATACCAATGTAAGTGAAATGTGTAACAAGCGTAAGGCTTCAGGCCCATGGGAGTTTAAGTTCACACTTTGAAAATGCCAGAATGAGAAAAATGAAAATTTCACATAAAACTGCTTAAATTCAATAATAAATGATAACCCAATTGAGCTGGCTTTCTTATTTGAACTGCATGNAGTACTTTGAAGCCGTCAACCATTTCAGCTATTTTTATGATCATGGTCATTGGTATGGGCCATTTTGCCAGCGTAAGACTCTCAAGACTGTTGACAGGTTGAGTGAGTTGGGCACTTACTTCACCTATAATTTCCCCTGCATTTACTATACTCGTCAAGCCCCAGTGCAAAGGATGGTTCGTCCCATCTTTTCTCTCCCTTAGATTAAGAGCCTGACCTTCTAAATATCACTCCTACATTTAGCCTATAAACATATCCGAGACTCGGTGGAACAAAACAGTGTTCACATATCTTCCACACTCCATTTATATGCCATATCTGCTACAGCTTTCTTGTTGGCCATCTTGGCGAAGAATTCCTTCTCAAATCCGTTGGATCTGTCGACCCCGTCCCACCTGTACCCGGGCCAAATGTTAAAGCGGTTAGGGGGAGGCTCTGGGCCACGGTACCTTGGTTTAGCTGAAAAGTAATCATACATGTGTTAGGTGAGACATGGAAGCAATGGCGCTTGGTTGGGCTAAAAGCAGAGAAAACAAAGATGATTGTGCAATTTTTATTCCAGCTTCCTTTTCTGAATGACTTTAAATCAAAAGCTGACTGAAGTTGTCTTGAAAACCCAAAATGTGTTTGTGTGTGCGTGCAGGCACACTTAAGTGCGTGCAATCCCATTTCTATTGGATCAGACACAGCAGAATAATACCTTCAGCCCTGAGATAAAACTGACATATTATTAGATTTATTGTATCATTAATAATGACCCTTCACCTTTGGCCTTTGACCCTCCTTTGTTTTCCTTAGCTTTCTTCTTCTGCATATATGCCAGCATGGGGTCCTCTGCCCGCTCTCGCTCCTTCAACATGGCGTCCAAATCCTCGTCATCTTTGAATCTTGCGAGGGGCTTGTCCATTTCATGTAGTGTTTCCTGCAGCGTCTGTTCCTGTTGTGCTTTTTGTGCCATTCTGCAACAGAATTAGGACAGATGACACAAGAGTTATTTCCAAGCAAACAAATACTTATACACCCTACCCACAGCTTTAATTTAGTAGAAAAGAAGCTCAAGTGTGGATACCCATATTTCAAAATCTTTTACCTACCCTTTCCCCCAAACCATATACTTTTCATTCATCTCTTCCTTTTTGGCATCCTCTGCCCTCTGCTTCAGTTTTTCTTCTTTTAAGTTTCTTCTCTTCCCTCCTTTGTCTCTGAACACAGTTTCTGCATTCTTCCCAAGAGCTTCAGCATCTATCTGCAATAAACTAACTTAAATTAACATGCTTTTATTACAAAAAAAACAAAACAATTAAATAATTTAATTAATAAATTTGTTAATTATCACCTTATTTCTAAGACAGTACTGAACTCTTTATGTATCTCATGAACATAAGCCTTGATCCATTTACTCCACTGGTCCAGCCCTTAAAAGCTTGTTGTCACAGAGACCAAGATAAAATTCATGGCTATTCTGACAAAAGAACTTTTAATCCAAAAAATTTGGTCTACTTCAGATCAAAATCCATTATATAGTAATCTATTTAAATAAAGAATTGCTCTTAAAGATGGGCCAAGTTCAATAGTTCATGTAACTAGATTTCTCATCTCAAGTCAAAGTAGACTGGAATTTTGCAATCAAATTTCAGGCTTAAGCTTTTGTGTGTAACAAGCACCAGTACTATAATGATCAAATTTGCCATTTCAGTTTGCTCTTACCTCAATTCACTTTGAATCAAACAAATAATATAATTATAAAACTACAACAAATGATTTCCCTCTTGTTGTATTATAGTATATATGCATTCCCATTTACCTGTTGAAACATCTTATTTTCCTTTCTTTTCAGTTTTTCTGCTTCTTCTCTCATTTCTCTGGCAGATGATAGACCTGCTTTAGCACCTGACATAAATAAATAAAACAAACAAATAAATACTTAACCCCAGACAATTATTTGAAGAATGAGACATAGAATGACAGACATCTATGTATTCTTGGTTTGTACAAGCACATCAAATCAATTATATCAATTTTGCAAGAAAAGAGTCTGGAAAGGTGGCTCCAAATATCTTACAGCCCATTTCATAAATATAAGAATTTTATTTGTTTTAGCTCTGCAATTAGGTTATACGCTGATTATAAAATGATCAATGTTACAATTTGTGAATTTATTACCTGCCAGGGTTTTACTCATCTTCCCTTCTTTACTTCTCAGTGAGTCTTGTTTATTTTTTCTGGGAGGGGATTCAACAGAATCTACCTGTTTCTTTTGTCTTCTAGGAGGGGACTGATCAGAATCGGAGTTCTGTTTCTTGGATTTTCTGGGAGGGGACTGGTCTGAATCATAAGTATTTCTCTGTTTCCTTGGAGGAGATTGGTCAGAACCAGAGTCGTGTCTTTGTTTCCTAGGAGGAGATTGGTCAGAACCAGAGTCATGTCTTTGTTTCCTTGGAGGAGATTGGTCAGAACCAGAGTCATGTCTTTGTTTTCTTGGGGGAGATTGGTCAGAATCATGCCTTTGTCTCCTAGGTAATAACTGGTCAGAATCAGAATCAGAATCATGCCTTTGTCTCCTAGGTATTGATTGGTCAGAATCAGAATCATGTCTCTGTCTTCTAGACACTGTAGTTTTATCAGTTTTTCCATTTATTACGTCTGTCTTTTTTGTTCTAGGTGGAGATTCATCAGAATCATGCCTGTTTTTCCTTCTTGGCGGAGACACATCAGAGTCAGAATCATGACGCTGTTTGTTGCCTTGTGGAGAGGTGTCAAGTTCACCATACTCTACATTTGCCCTATCTGCTGCTGAAAAATAAATATATATATATATTGGGTCACCAAAATATTCAAATATTCAATGATGAACAAAAAAAAAAAAAAAAAAAAAGAAACTGAGGACCACACTTGACTTTGACTACATCTGGCTCTTGCCAATATTGGCAAGGCATAGATTTTAGATCATTTCAAGGGTTTTCCCCGCCAATGGTCCAGTCGTCATTTGGACGGCTGCTGGCATCACTGGACAGCCATATTTGCAAAGAATACTGGATGGCTTATGGATCTTTTGGAAATATGATAGCTTAATGCACATGTGGACTCCCTGAAATTTTGCAGGAAATTACAGGTGGTAATTTTGGACAGCCGGTACCCCCAATCTTTGGAAAAGAAGTAAGTGATTATTATTACTAAGATGCTACTAAATAAAAAACTATGAACAATCTAATAGAGAAGTATGGAAGAAAGGTTATTATATAATGTATCCTAGTATTTGTAAAAATAGGCATGATATCTAATAACTGGTTCATACCTGTACAAATATTTATTGTAATTATTCAGAATTCAGTTTGAATTGTTTACAAATCTGCACCTTGCAGCCCCTCCAATTCACCTTGCTTATCAGAAGCGAGTAACTTCCACTTGCTGTCCTTCCTGTATTGTTCTATCCTCTGGACATGGACTGGTCTTTCATCCACAATTTCAGCAACAGTTGGTGCTTCTTCTTCTTCCTCCTCCTCCTCAACATGACCAGTGTCAGCAGATGGGATGCCAGTCTTAAAGTCCAAGTCCTCATCTATTATTTTCAGCCTGGAAAGATTTGAGAGCACCCGTGCTGTAATAACTACAGAATCTATTTTGTATTTTTATTTATTTACTAACAATAATTTATTTAATATTTATACTGTCATGCCTATAATTCACTCAACCCATTGTCTCTCAGGGGGCGTGAGTACAGAGTTAATACGTACATGGAGTATACGCATACGGATTGTCGCGCGAATTATGAGCACAACCAGTAGTTCATTGTTTGTCTTTGTACAGATGTTAAACGGTTTACTACTAGTATATAATATATACTGCTACACTGTCTCTAAATGTGTAAATGCCGTTTACCCTCATTTTGGTCGATCGATTGTTAAAATTCTACAAGCTTAGCTTAAGTACTGACCAAAGTGTTCTTGTTATTAATTGCATACATGGCTCATAATCTTGTAAATATTTCTCTATCTGAATTTGAATATCTAGATCTGCATCCCCCATATCTGAGAAATAATTAAAAGGTTACCCAGAATGAGGCTTCACTGCTTTAGGTTTCTTCCTCTTCTTCTTAGTCTTTTCAGTACCCGCTGAATCGGACATGTACCTCTTTAAATAATCAGCTTTGCTCAACGTCGCGCTCATGTTGACTAGTTTCGAGAGGAAGTGACTTTCCTGGTCTCCTCTTTAAGAAGAGTGCATCTTTAGGGAGCAGTCCTCAGTATAAATTAAGTAGTGATTTATTTACCTCAAAAATGACCTGTAGTGGAGGTAATGAAGCAGGAAAGCAAAGACATATAATACTATATATGTTATGTTTACTATTTTTAAGTATTTTTACAAAAGTTTATTTGCGATAATTGCAAGATAGCTTAATAGAATAGCTTCTCCCTGTTTCACACACATTGCACCACATCCACCGTGCAGTAAAAGACTTGACTGAACATCTGGTTTCTGCCCTAAAATGACGCTTCCTATCGATAAGCAAGAGCAGACGGTAGAAGATGAAGCTTCTGGAAGACAACAAAAAGTCCCTGTACTGGTAAGTCATGAAATAATTTTAATTGCAGACAAATCAATGTCCAATAAAATGTTGATGGTGCTGTGTTTGTAAACGTAAACAGTAAAACACATGTAGTTTTTAATTTGAGTGTATATTCAACACATATGGCTGCTTCAAGTAATTAAAACATTTGAGCCAGTTTGGATTTTAATGCACATGAATGTCGCCTCAAGATGTAAATATTCTTTACATCTTGAATATTCTTATACGACGTACTTCATTTTAATTTTTAAGGAAGTGAAGCCCCCCTACACACACACACACACACATACACACACACACACACTAACACACACACACATAAGGATGATCAGACCAGAATGTGCACACTCACAGGTGCTTAACTGTCCCACAAGCTTTAATTGTAATATGTCCTGCATTCCACAAGCTTTAATGCCTCTCTCTGTAATGTCTCTTCATCACATCTTCAGCACCCCAGGTTTAAGACAGACCACCCATTTGTGGTCTACAGACAGCTGCCCATGAATTACGACACAGCTACCTTGGAGGAGTGGATGGAGAGAGTGGCCTACATCAAGGAAGATCTTCACTGGCTTCTCAGGCTGCCACATGATAGATTCTGGTGTCAGGTATATTTGATGTATCAAATGATCGATAGGCTTTGCAATATAACTTGTTGCAGCATTACTCAAATATTATTGTCTATCTCTTGAACAAATCTTATGGATCGAGTGGACTCCGATTTATTTATTTATTGGTTTAAATTCATTTTCTAGTTCTTTTAAAGCACTAAAGGCTACATATATAACATTTTATGGGTAGAACTAAATCAACCATATAAATAGAACTTTATTGATTTCTAAAACTTTTATTTGTTTCAACTTCTTCAGGTAGTGTTTGACCCTGAGATGCACAAATGCATAGACAGTTACCTGAAAAATGCTCCAAGGTAGGCATACTTCTTTGACATATATACCAGTCATATTTGCCAGGGTTTGGATTGTTATTCTCCACTTTGTGATAAAGTTCATGAAAACTATTTTGGATATTTTATGAAATGCCTGAAAGACTAGTAATTTCATGTTGGGGTAAAAGGCATCATAAATTAATCTGTAACCAGTAGCAATACAGGTTGAAGGTCCTTCAAAATCAGGAACATTCTGACAATCTTCCAGACAGGTCTGATGGTGTATTTGCATTGAAAATATTACCACCCTTCTTGATACAACCATTCTGGCTGTCAGATAAAGCTAAGCTCACCACAGACACCAAAATTTTGATGTAATATTCCCGTTCTCGTGCCCACCGTTATCTACACTGTACTGTAATGTGCTTATCTGGCAGTATGATTGTAAGTAAGAAGGGTCGATCCATCTTCAGTAAACACCTTGAATCTGTCCCTGTCATTCCAGGTCCTATGATGTGAAGCCCCTCCCCCCAGAGGCTGAGGCTCTCCATACTGCTGTACACCGCATGGTCTTCATGGTCTGCCTGAGGATGGCCACTTATAAGGAATCTGCTGTGAGTCTGTGGGTTCATTCACAATGAATAAATCATTCTATATAGATTGATCCAAGTCTGCAGGGGCTCCAGCTGAATGCAATTAGATAAGCAGATAGACATGCCTCCTTTTGTACTAACATACCTGTATAATCTTCAGCTTTTCCGTATTCTACTCAAGGCTAAGAGGAGGTGTGGTAATCTGATTATATTCAGCAAGTGTCCCCAGGGAGTTGGACCAATCTATGACAGTAGCTTCATAAAGAAAGAGCCCTATGTAGAAAATATATGATTGTTTATAGTAGTTGTATTTAGGAGTGTAAAACATGTAGATATTTCTTCTGATTTAGCCTTGAAATAGTGTTGAATAATATAACTGTTTGATTAACATTATATTATGTGTAAACCTTCTGATTTGATTTCTTTTCAGTCCCATCATTTGACCCCTTCTGTGTTTGGTGAGATTCTGTATGAACATTTCATCTTTGACATCCCCAAGATAATGGACCTGTGTTCACTGTATGGAGCTGGCAACTCTGCTTTACTGACTAGGATGATCTCCAATATCTTCACACAGCAGCCTAAATATGAGGATGACCTCAGGATTACAGTGCCTACAGTTTTACAGGTATAGGTAGAGGAGAAGGGGGGTTAATATATGAGGCGTACAGGACAGGGAAGCTGAGAGAGGGAGAGAGTTTGAGAATGTGTTTGTGGTTGTGTGTGTCTGAGAGAGAGAGAGAGAGAGAGAGGATGTGTGTTTTTGTGTGTGTGCAATAGAGGGAAAGGGAAAGAAAGTAGGAGAGAAAGAGCGAGAAAAGGGGAAAGGAAGCATGAGAAGGAGGAATAAATCGTGAAAATTTGAAGTTGTTCTTTTCAATTGCTGTATTCACCTGTACGTCAAAAACCAGCCCTTAACCCTCACAACACTTGTCTAACCCCATTACATTATTATCAGGTGTTTGAAAACATAGTAGAGCAGTGTGAGCTCTCCCACACCACGGTGCCCCAGAGGCTGTCCACAGACCGCTGTAGAGGACTAGCTGACATGCCAGAGCCAAAGTTCCTAGATATTGTGCTGTATTTGTATGACATATGCTCCACGCTGCTGGCTTTCCTGGAGGTGTATCCAAAAGGGGCACATGCATTTCATGAGGAGGGATTCTTGGTCAGGTGAGGGGATGATTGTGGTAGTTGGGATGAGGATTGTGTTAGATGTGATGTGGATTGTGTTAGATGTGTTGTAATTGTATTGTAATATCCCACTGTTGAGATAATTATAATTTTCTTGAATATTAATGGAGACAGATCAAATCTTAACATCTTTTTAGACAATCATTTTTGTGATAAAATAGAAGAATTTAAAGAATAAGAAGATGATTTCATTAAAATTTTTAGAATGTCCCTTCTACTTTTGAAGTTTTCTTCTGCAGACTGTCCAATCTATATGAGACTACATTCCATGAGTTAATGGCGGCAGTTAAGGAGAGAAAGTGGTCAGAACCAAGGTGAGGCATATGGACGGTATTTTACATGGAAAAGGGACTCTAAATAAAAAATCATTCAGTATTTGATAATATAGCTGATGATAGTGATTTACAACAAATTTATGAGATTTGATGTGCAATTCAAGACATATTTTATGGATGACTGAAGTATTTAGTCGTTTTCAAGTGCATTTTATTCTGATAATTTGATGATAAATCAAGGTCTGATTTGCAAAATTGCTGTTAGCTGACAATATGGTTTTAACTGTGTTTTAAACAGAAATTTAACAGAGGATGATATACATGACAATTTGTTACACATTGCAGTTTATTGTGAAAAAGAAAGGCAACAAACAAAATTAAGAGAAATTTGATGCACCCTTGTTATTTAAACTCTCTCATTGTGCTGATTTTTAATTTCAGCTTAATCAGAACAGTGAAGACAAAGCTGAGAGTGATGGAGAAGAATTTTGTGGAGATTTTTAGGAACATTTTAAACACTTGTGCAATTCAGCCAATCATTGAAAAGAGGTATTTTGAATTTTTCATTCTTGTAAAATTTCATTTACAGACAGATTGTCTCCACCTTTGTCTTTTGAAAGCAAACACTATCTTAAACATTAAATTTGTTTGGGTTTAACCAAGTATACTTTATTATAGTCAAAAAAATAATAAGTAAATTATAAAATTTTGGTGCTTCCTTTAAGAAAGAAAAAAAAATACATTCAACCCAATAATAATTAAAATTTGATAATGTGAAACAATATTTTTTCTTAGTTAAAATAAACCATGTCTAGTTTTAATAGTTGGCCGAAATATGAAATGGTAGTTTCACATAAATTTCCTTTGTGGAAAATTTTACAGGATTCTCTTTATTTTATTTCACTGTTATATTTCCAGTGGCAGCCCAGAGGTAGAATCCTATGTGGAGGACTACATGAGTGTGATGACTGATGTCCTCTCAGATAAAAGGTATATTTTCATACCATAAACTTAGAAATTTTGTGCAGTTTTGAATGGTTAACAGCCTCTCCCCAGTCATCCTTTTTATTTTCTGTGGTGCAAGTGCATTTTAAGAAAATTAGATATCTTCTCTTGCTGTTCATATTTCCTTTTCTTGTACCTGCTCTCTGCTCATCCTGCTAAATACTTCATTAATTTTTTGTATTTATTATATATTAATTTCAAAAGCTATATCAGAAATGGAAGCGCTCTTTGGCAAAAAATCTTTTCAGTATCTAAATTTCTCCTATCTATTTTAATAGCTTAATCAGAAATTTGAAACAACTCTTTGACAAAAACACAAAATATTTGAACATTTAAGAATAGATGATGTCATTGATTTGTGAAAAAGATATATGTAATGACATGACACTGACATTTTCTAATCCAGATTCCTGGCAGCTTATGAGGAAGTATTCCGGTTCAGTGAAGATCTTGACATTTTACAGCAGTGTGTATATGCCATGTATCTTTTGATGTGGATATGTACTGATGTAGCATGTTATGTTTGCAAAGTGATGTGTAAATATTTGAATTTCAACTTAAAATTTCACAACAGATCATGTGGTTTAATAAGTGAAGGCAAAAATTTACCAAAATCTCATCCACTGAATGTTCTCTTATGACACAGTCCAATCCTACTATATGTTTCACAAAGACAGTGAAGTATTAGAGGAGATACAGACACAATAGATAAGGATGTTTGGCACTTCTGCACCCCCCTTTTATCTGTCCCACGAATATTAATGCCATATGAACTTCAAGATAAAATTGATAATATTATTAATATATAATATTCAATTGACATAAAAAATATGTTGACTTACATGTTTTGAATTAGCAGTCTGTTATTTGTGTTGTTGGAATATTTCCCTGACTGTTACACAGAGATGATACCAGGATACAGTTTCTTCAAGATGGCATTGCAAGTACATTACAAGGGGTTGTAAGAAAAGGTAGGGATAAGACTGTTTGGGCTTAAAGATTTCTGTGGTCAGATTTGAAATGAAGATGTTGTATGTTTATTTGGAAATAGAAGAAATATGGGCTGATGCAAATAAGAATTTGTTAAATAAACCCGATTTAACCATCTTTTATCGTTGCTTATTGAAGGTCATTTTCATGGATGAAATGTCCCCTGAAAAAACATGAAAGTTCAAATATGTGTGGCAAATGTTGAGTCATTTTTATTTCATCTCAGTAAATTATATATACAGTTTTCACAAGTTGCCTACTTTTTAGTAAAAACAAAGAAATCACCCAAAGTACCAAAAGAAAATGCTCAAAGACAGCCACCAGAGGGTGCTGAGAATGATGCACCTCAAGACAAGCTACAAGTAGAAGAGGTATGCATTTTGTCTGCAAATTTTCTGAAGAACACTTTTTCTACAATATTTTTCTTCGTCTTTTGCAAAAGAACCCCGAGTACAATGGGTTTGAATAGAGCTTTTAATTCTTTATCATTATTTTAATTTTTATATTTAATTTTTGTAATTGAAGATCTTTTTCATCTCTAATTTGCACATTTTACACTCTTTTTTTCTATCATCAAATTTTCAGTCTGAGCTTGGCGCCTGTGCTGCTCCAGTGTCTTCCCCTAGTGACGTGGAAATGGACAGTCTGATCTCCTCTGTGCGTGATCTTCTGCCTGATCTGGGGTCAGGGTTCATACAGGTAAAACTCCGCCCTGGACCTTGTTTCTCAAAACCAGTTTTTGGGCTAAGCTATAGCAGATAAACTTGGATAGACAACTTTGTACAGCCAACTTGAACATCATTCGACCACTTCACAAACCTTACGCGTATTGAACTTTTAGATGTAGTTGACTTATCAAAGGCAACTTGATTATGAATTATGCACCACGGTTTGACACAAGGCCCAAGTTTTAAGACCTGAAGCATGATAGGTTTTTCATTCCACTCTTCAAAATAGTTACAGGATTTTTTTTCTCTTCTGCCATGAAACAATCTTAGCTTATAATAATCCCTGTAATGACTTTCTATTTACTTTTACAGATGTGTCTTGAAGAGTTCAGTTTTGATGTCGAGAAAGTAGTGAATGCTTTACTAGAGGATAAACTGCCGCCTCATCTCCAAGATCTAAACAGGACTATGGACAGGTACTGTATAGGTATGATGTCACATGTCATACCAGAGTAAAATTTGCCAGTTTGTCTGTGAGATATTATTATGATAATTATTATTATTATTATTATTTATGTAATGATATGTAAATTATATGGGTTTTTCACTTTCAGAGACATGTTGCCTAAGAAATCAATTTTATCAGAAAGGAAGAACATATATGACGATGATGAATTTGATGTCTTCCATAAAAAGGATGTTGATGTATCTAAAGTCTTCAAGGGCAAGAGGTAATGTAATTCAACAGTAAATATTTAATTTTAATATTCTAAATTATTCATTGGTTTCTTATCCCATGTATTTCTGTTTTGTGTCCATGACATACAATAGAATCTTGAAATAATTTTTTCAGTGTTTGAAATTTATGAGTATTTACATTTTTAACAGGCAGCAGATCACCAGCAAAAAATACACCCCATTGAGTGGAGCAGACCGAGAAAAACTGCAACCAGTCTATGATTTATTTGGAAATGTGGACACGGAAGGCTCTGTGTACGCTATTAAAGATGATCCTGATGGGATGTATGAAGACGAGTATGATGACACTTATGATTCACACAATGAAGCTGAGGATGAAGATTCTGCTGATGAACTCCTACAGAGGAGGTGTGTTCTGCTGTGACTTATTTTTCAATGAAAAAGTTTCAGTCAGAAAAAATTGTAGCTGTAGAATTTTACAGATAATAATAATTTATAATAAGAAATGATTTATTGTACATGCTATTTTTTGTACATTATATTTTTGGTAACTTTGTTAGAAAATTATCAATACATGGCAGTGACTCATTAAATGAGAAGAAGTTGCATTTCCTAATGTAGTTTCGTGAGTAATATCAAGAAAAGATGTTAAAGTATTACTATTTTTTAGAAATGACTGAAAGCATGAATTCAAACTTATTTACTCAAAGCCTCACTGTCAAACTGAGAATATTTAATGTTTGCTTAAATTTATTTATTTATTAATTTATTTCAGATATAACCTTAGTATAGCAGCCAATAAAAATGTGCAAGATGAGGAAGAGGAAGAAGAAGAAGAGGAGGAGGTGAATGAGATATTTTTAGTTGAAAATGTAATGAAAATAAGGATAGTGAAATAATGAACCAACAAAATGAACTACTGTCACTCTGCAAATTTGACATATGTTTACTTTTTTCATGATGGTGATACTTTTTATCAGAAACAATTCTAGAAGTCACTTTATTATAAAAAAAATTACGTTTGTTTTAACAAAGTTTAATTTAAAAATTTCAAAGCATGCAAAAAGTAATGCCTCCTCTTTTTACAGGAATCAGAGAGAAGAAGAGACCAATTTATTGAAGATCCAGCTAAAATTCGGGAAAGGCAAGAACAGAGGAGATTGTCTAAAATGCAGCGGACAGCCAAGAAAAATGTGGGCCAAGGTCAGAAAAGGTCATATGATGTGCAGGGCAAGCCTAAAGGTCAAGGCCAAAGCAAGGAGGTTTTGCATAACAGAGATTACAAAGAGAAAAACAAAGGAAGAAGAGCCAATCACAACAGGAGGGTCCTTGCTGATAAAAAGAGGGCAGCTTGAAATTTCAGGAAACGATTCTTATACTTCGCAACACCCCATGTGCAAATTAATATTTACATACAGGGTCCTCGGATTCACCTCAAGGACTCAAATTTTTGTTTAAGTATGGCTAGAATAATCAATGGTAGTGCATATTCCCATGGGTTATGATGATTAACTCATTATCCAACTCATTTTTTCCACTTTATTTTTTTTCCTAAAAGTCTGTTGGCTTACATCAATCAAACTCTGAATGAACAGAAATGTCTTCATTGTTAAAATATTTCTAATAAAACATTTGTTTTGGGTATTTGCTGCTTCTGTGTTTAATTGATCCCCATACTACAATAGAAAAAATTAAAAACAATCAGCATATTAGACATTGATGTATACAATGTAAGTAACTTTTTGGGACTTGGCAATAACTTGATTTTTGATAAAAATAAAGCATCAGGTCTTGTCCTATATGTATGTGATATCAGTTAATGAGGGCAAGATATATTGGATGCCCTAAACTGAACTTTTAAGATTCAAAGCTATTTTTCTGCTTCTTTCATTATCACAATTATGAACAGAATAAAGACTTATTGAATTTATTTACAAAACCTTTTTGTCATTATTTATTTAATAGTTCCTAAGTGTCCTAATCATAATATCTCACGTATATAATTGTTTGAATTTTGTGTAAAGTACCTTTAGTAAATAATAAACAAAATCACTTGGTTTCTGCTAAATCATTTGTATATAGTTTCTTGTAATTACTGTAGTAAGCTGTGAGCCAAAGACTGAGATTTGTCTATTTAAGAACAAGGAAAACCACCCATCTATCTGAACCCCACTGATAATAATAGTTTTAATCATTAAATGGCTAAAAAAAGTTAATGATACCATTTTATTGTTGAGTTGTATAATGTAAATGAACCACCTTATCTAGACACTATGTAAAAAGTATACAAAATAAATGTTTAGTTGTGCCTTTTGTTAAACCATTTAAATATTATTATTATTTAAATTAATATCATTTTGTTACCATTACACTGCATTTCAAATTACATTATTTTAAAACTAAAATGTTTCATGGCTTGAAGAGTATTAAAAAAATAATGTGGAAAGCTAACTTTGTAATGAAAATAGGGTTAAAAAAGCCGCATGCCTACATTTTTTTGAAATAGAATAAGAAATAAAACGGAATAATTACCCCTCATTACCACAAACATAACAGTGACGATGGGCCCATTCATTGAGTTTCCCTTTGATCATGTGACGCAAAGCGACCAATCGGTGAAGGCGGAAGCTGAGTGTCAACATGGCGGATAAAGCGGGTGAGTAAAGTTAACCCTTTGCAAAATGTAGGGAATTTCGAAAGTTACCGGCAACAGCCTTGAAACGACTAACGTCCATGAAATGCAGGATGATGTTATGTCTGTTCATGCCCATAGAAGGATTTGTGAAACGTGTGGAAAAGCGTGAAAAAAGAGCAGATGTTGGGCCGATGCACTGTGCACTGGTTAACCCTTCAAACACCCGTGCCTTTCCAAGGTCGGAATCGAAAGTGGCAAGTCCGGGTACCAGATGTGGCAGGGTTTGATTCTGAAATTTTTGACTCGCATTTTTAATGACCTTGTGTCTTGATCCATTTTTCAGACAGTGTATTTGATAAAAGCTTAAATGAAATGTTATAATGTCAAATGACCAAATTAAAACCTGTAGCACATTCAATTAATGTGTGGAGCTAAAAATATAAATTTACTACTGGTAATTATTACTGATAGGCATGAATTGAAGTCCATAGCCAATGTTTATGATTCTTAGTTTATATTGACTGCTGTTGCCCAGTATGAAGTATTTATTCAATTTTCATTTATTCATTTTATCAGATAAGCATACTGATTTAATTACTGGTACATGCAAACTACTTTTGCTTTTCACCTTCAGCAGATAAAAAAAAAAAAGAAAAAAAAATCACATAGTTATACTTTGGGTACATTTCGATATAAGTTAATTTATTGGGCTAAAGGATCATTAATTGCCCTGAAAAATCCTATAACATTTTCATCAGTGTTTAGTTGGTCAGGGGTTTCTAATTTTAGTGAATATTTATTCAGACCAGTGAACCTTCGAACTATTGCCATGCACCATATAATTTATCTAATTTCAACAACAAGCTTTGTCTTCATTTTCCAGGCCCCGCCCACAGTCTTGGCCCCCCACCGCCCCCTCCATCCATCCCAGCCAACGTGGGTCTCCCGCCATATGTCCAGAGCTTCACGCATCACGGTCAGACACTGCTGGAACAGCTGCAGCGCCAGCTACAGTACGGTGCCTTCTGCGATGTCATAGTGAGAGTGGAAGATTACGATTTTAGGCTACACAAGTGTATCTTGGCTGCCTTCAGTCAGAAGTTACAGAGCATGCTGTATGGCATGCGTCAGGAGTGTTCTAATGTCCTCACCCTGCGGGATGTCACGTTTAATGCATTCCGTACCATCATTGATTATGTGTACACAGGTAGGTATAGAAGAGCTTTGTAAGTGTTATGACTATGGGAACATGTTGAAATGATTTTAATTCAATATGTTTCCTGTAAATTCCATGTTTGTGAAGAATTTTTAAACCACTTTTTTTATTTTAAATTTATTATATATTGGTAATAAAAACTGACATCACATTAATGACAAATGATTGCTAATATGAAGAAAAAATAATCTGTATGATGTATTAGTATATTACCAATTTTTACCCTTTAAAAATTATGGGTGTTTATAGTAGACATTTGAAATGACACTGATACTGGTAAGCGTATTGATACTGTTATATAAATGACATATGTTATCATAGTATACAAAATTATACATTACAGGTAAACTGAAGGTAGAACCAGCTTATGCATATGATGTGCTGACTGCTGCCCAGTATCTAGATATGGCCAATGTAGAGAAAGCCTGTGTAGAACATCTGAGATCTCTCACTGACCGAGGGATGGCTGGTAATCCCGCATGGAATTTACCACCTGCAGGTATTGGTCAAATTTTAGACCTCTAAGTAGAGATCTTTGGGTCCATGATTATACTCTGCTATGGTAAAATAATCTTTATGTAAGTTGTGCAATAACTTAAATCACTCAAGTTGGAATATTGGCACACATGTTAAGTTCATCTAATTAAATTAGGTTCTTTTTGTGATTTCTACAGGATTTTCTGGTTATTCTGGACGTCCAGCAGGAATGTTTGCCCCATCTGCTGCATTTCCACCTGTAACCATGGTTACGGGTAACAGCCATGTTGCCATGGTGAACCCAAGTCAAGGGCCTTCCGTTGATACCAACTTGATTGAGGACTATTTGAAGGTGATTGAATCTTTTCAAAACAACCAGTCAGAGATGATGAACACCTTAGGTGATGGGACTCCAACTGCTGCCATGGCAACTGGATATAACCAAGGTCATGGCCCAGGTCAGGGTCAAGGTTCTAGGCCACCAGCAGGTTCAAGAGCAGTGGCTTCAAAAGTGCAACCATTTTCCAGTGCATTAGATGCATACACATACAATCTTCTGACAACTGCACTACAGAAAATGAGTGAGCAGAAGGCAGTTGATCAGCATGCTGCTGTCCTAGGTGGCGCCGCCTCTGGTATAGAGACTGCAGGGGGTCTCAGGATGATCCCATCTACAGCCAGGCAACCGCCACCAGGAATAATCCAAGACAGAACACTAGCATCACAGACAGAATTTCATCCCAATCCTGAAGTACGAGATAAAGAGACCAGTCGTCTTATCGAGGCAATACGGGCTGAAAACATGGTGCCAAAACCTGTGTCTTCACAAGAGATTCACCAGCAGCAGTTAGTTGAGCAGCCTTCAGAGCCAAGAGAAATATGTCAGCTGCAGGAAGAGGTTTGTCAGGCAGATGGCCAGGTCCGGCAGAGGACTCTAGTTTTTGATAGGGAAACTGCGACAAGGGGACCAGAAATCCTCAGCTCTGATGATGATCAAGAAGATGGTTTCCATGGAAACACTCAACAGTTTCATGCTTCCCCTGAAACTGACCAAGCTGCAGCTGTAACTCATGCAATTCCTGAACCTGTTGTAGAAATAGACCAATCAGCTCCAAATTCTCATATTGTTTCTAAGCAACCAGAAAGAAAAGACCAGTCAACCTCCACCTCTTATGCAGACCATGAGCCTCAGTCAGGCATGGACCAATCAAATGTAATTTCTCATGAAGTGGTCATGTCTGTTGATCAGGTAGACCAATCAACAGCCAAGTCTAATGTAGTGATAGAATCAGTGGCAGGTGGAGATTCACAGGGTAAGAGGAAGAAATCAAAACCACACAAGATAAAAATTCAAGCTAATAACTCTGCAGAAAAAGAGCAAGCGCTTCAGAAAGATAGCACACCAAGGACGGGTAAAGATAAAACTTCTCCAACTGGTGCTGTGGGTGAGAGACAGAGGAAAAACGATGTTAAAGGACCACCCAAGAAGAGGAAAAAGAGAAAAGAGACAGCTTCAACCATACGTTGTGATCTATGCAACCGGACATTTTCGCGCCCTGGACTCTACCGGCGGCACGTGCGTGCCCACGAGAGGCAAGGCGGCGAAATCTACACGTGTCACGTCTGCCATCAGAAATACCCGCGACCGGGCGAACTGACGCGACACTTGCGGACTCACACGGGAGAACTCTACCACTGTAATACATGCGACAAAAATTACGAGTCACAGAAGGAGTTCAAGATGCACATGAAACAGGCACACGACGAGCCGAAAGCGTTCCAGTGCGTCTTTCCCGGCTGCAGTTTCAAGTCGGACAAACCGTCAAATGTTGAACGCCATGCGGTGATCCATGCAGATTTAAAGCCTTACGAATGTGAACGGTGCGGGCGCACGTTTTCCCAGCCAAATGGCTTGAGAAGCCACATGCAGAGTTGTTTTGAGACGCGCAGTTATATGTGTGACATGTGCGGCGTTTCCTTTAACCATCTGGGAAGCATGAAGTCGCATCGTCGAATGCACACGGGGGAGAAACCATTTATATGTCAGGATTGTGGGGCCGGGTTTTCTGACCACAGGAATTTCAAAAGACATCGGCGCATTCATGACAACGTTTTCCCATACGGATGTGACATTTGTAACAAGAAATTCCGTCATTCTAATTCACTCAAATCTCATATTAAAACACATAATGCTTCCTAAAGTCAAATTCTAATTTTTCTTATTTTAGCATTTTGATAGATAACTTGTTGTGAATATCGCCGAAGCTATAAATGTTTGCTTTTTCTGTTCAACAGCAGGCAGCCATAGATTTTGTAAGATTTCTATTATGAAACATTTATTGACTCGTACATTCGATATGCATTTAAGAAAACTGGTGACCCACTAAATCAGTAAGGCTCAAATGTATTTATTTGATGTGCATATCAGACGTAATTAGACTCCTTTAACAAGGGGTCACGTATTAAGACCGTCGCACAGTCGTAGAACATTAGAGAAAATTGGATTGTATTAAAAATCATCTTTTACGGTAAAATATCGCTAATTTGTAATCTTGCACATAAGATATGGTGATAAGTTATCATTAATTTCCTTAAATATGATTGTAACCTTGGGGATTTTTAAAATAACACAATACTTGTCAAGATCCGACACGATTTATTTTATTTTATCTTCAATTATTTATTTATTTTTATTTATTATTATTATTATTATTTTGAGCGAACTCCACTACGACTGACCACAAAGGAGTTTAAGCCGAGTCCAATATCATTTATGATTTATTAGAGATAAGGCTCATATTTTTATATTGGGTCTGTCGAAAAAGATATATTTATCTGCTAAAACTATCTTCGAGAATCTACCGATTATCTGAACACAAAAACGCCCCAGACGTTATAGAATTCTGAGTGCCTTTTTTCCAATATAAACATGCGATGTTGCGTGTTATTACACATAAAGGCGCTTCAAAACAACGTTTGAAATGATTATCTCGGATAATGGATCCTTTTATCTTTACATTTTTTATAATCCTTAAAACTTGGGATGACATTTGTGGTCGCACTGCATTCATCTCCAAAAGATCGATTTCTTACATAACGGCGAAAGCTGTATCGAATCTTCGCAGCACGTTTTAGGTCTCCGCTGAGGCTCATTGTGACTGGTTCTCCGCCAAAACTCCTCTACAGCAATTTTAAAATATCCAGTCGTCGTATTCCGCGTTGATATAGGCCTATAACGGATAGGCGACGTCCCCTGTCCGTTCTACTCTCGTGTGGATCGTATGATTAAATGGGCATTAAGGTAATTCGAGGAAAGAATATATCACAAAATGAATTGGACAACCGTACTGCAACATAATGGAATCGCTAGAAATGTTATCACTGCAATAACAAGCTTTAGTGAAGTGATCGCGAAAAGTGGAAATGACATGACGACGTAGCTTACAAAAATGATATTTATAAAAAGAATTTTGACAAACTATGGCTTAAAGCGGTTTGAAATGGTAGTAAATTTTTATGAGTCAAAATATAGTCAATCCTTGTTGTTTACTATGTTAGCAGTTAGGTGTTTCTCTCTCTCTCTCTCTCTCTCTCTCTCTCTCTCTCTCTCTCTCCAAGGGCGAGCGTGTCCCTCCTAGTTTTTTTTTTTTATTCCATTACGGTTATTTCTTTATGCATTCATTTTTTTTTTCAAATACATGTATGTTGTTAAATAAAACTTATAATTAGCTGAACAACCTCAAAATTAGCTGCTTATCATTCCTGGTCTCCGGACGTGGAGACTCGAACGGTGAGAGCACCTCAAAACAGTCGTAAGAATTATTTTCGTGTTTTAAAGAAATAAAAACAGTCTGTTGTTTACGAAATGAAACCTAGGGCGTAATGTAATTAGCAAAGACTACACAGATTACGCCAAGTCACGACAACCAAAGTGAAAAAATAACCCAAAGAGAGTAAAGATTGAAAGGAAAGAAGACATTGTCATGGAAAACACCATGCGCGCTTACATTTTGACTTTTCTTCCTTATTTTTTTCTTGGTAATTTAATATGGGATGACAGTACGCTAGTTTTTTTTCTAAGGGTGGGGGAGGGAGGCACAAAAACAATGTAGTAGACGAATAAGGACAATTTTAGCGTAATTTGTACTGGTAGTACGACACAGAGATGGGAAATGCATTGGTTTTGTCTGGTAAAGCTGTTCTGTTTTTATTCATTTTTTAATCACTTTTATTATATACTTTTTTTTTGGGGGGGGGGGAGGATAGATGGATATCACGATCAGTTGGCTCCAAGACTGTATATTTGGGATGGAAACGTGCTCGTCGCCCCCCCCCCCCCCACACACACACACACACACGCACACACACTCCGAGCTCCCAGGTCCACCATTGCTGTCATGCTGCTTGCATTTAGCGAGCCAGCATGTGATTAAGTGTTAAATTGGCATTGATGCCAACATGTATAACGAGCCTTCTATATTTCAAAGACATATAAGTACTGTGAGTGACTGATGTGAAGTATTAAGTGTCTTCGGCACGGATTAATATTAGGCCTACAGAAGGTAAAGGCACACGGTAGTGAAAGAACAGTCTTTGAAATTCAACAGCACAATTTGTTTGTTTTAGGTATTGAAAGCAGGCCTATTTAAACGCGCTCTGCAGACTTATTTTTGTATTCTTAAATTGTCAAATTTCTAAAACGAAAAAATCAAAATGCAAAAAATCTTAGAAACATGTGTTTTTAAAAGTTTTTCTCACAAACCCGACCGCGAACTGCCCCTGACTTCACTTCCCTTTTGCCTTAGAACGAGTTATTGATCAAGTGAGTAATTGTGATTATGTTAATTATCAACATATGATGTCATGTTGGAGTTTTTGTCATGACAAAAAGGAACAATTATTTTAGACATAATAAAAAATTGGCGTTTCACACAAGTCCTACCGATATAAAATTCAAATGTGTGACCTAAAATTACTTTCTAAGCGGACCCATAACTTTTGCTGAAAGTGGGGGATCTTGGTGGAAAAAAAGACGAAAATTAGAAGTTAGAGCGACAGTTAGTCATTTCCTGTCCGAAAGGTAAGTAAGTATTGCCTTTGTACATCACATTAGGAGACACAGGTGGGGTGTCATCACACCTGTAAATTTTAACCAATTATAATGCGCAATACAAAATTTTCTAGTTCAGTGGCCCAATCAGAGACGGTTTTACAAAGCCCTGAGCAACTACATGACGTCATGCTCCCTATTTGCATATCTTGATTTGGAGGCTCGAACAACAGCTAGATATCGAACAGGAAGACCGACTTAGGAGGCATATTCGTGTTTAAAGGAGCTACATTCCTAAAAATGGGGCCTAAAATTGGTCCAGTGGTGCTACTTGTTGCCGTTTGGGCGTTCACTGTTTGCCAGGCTTACGTTGAGGTAGGTAAAATCTTCATTTTCTTAGGCCAGAGAGGCATTGATTATTTTCAAGATGGCGGGGCATAGTTCTAGTGCATTGGGTTGGTGACCTCGCAGAAATCTGTGCCGAAAGTCGTGAATTTTGACCTGAGTCGGTTCTTTGTATTTCAGTCGTAGCTTTCATTCACATTTCTTGGGTGTGGAATTGTTGATTGCCGAAAAAAACTTCGTCTGGAAACTTCTTGAACTTTAAATATAAAAGAGAGACGTAAGATGTCCTGACCCAATGTTACACGGCGAAGTTGGAATTTGGACTGTGACCAACTTTTCTTTTATCATGTTCGGGTCTCATTTTCATGTTGATTTTGCATTGTACCTGTTTGTCACATGCTTCTATGTCATCTTCATAATACAATGCTTCAAAGTTTCAGAAGTTCACGTTGTTTCTGTGTTAATAGTCCATAAAGGAGATGTCTGTAATAGAAAGAAAAAGAAAAATTGCCCCTTTTCGGTTGTCAACAAGAAATATCACAAAATCAGAAGGTCTGTATGTCTCAAATTGATTTTAAACTATATGTATTACTTATAAGCCACCCTTTTATCAAAATAGAGCCAATAGATCAGTCAATCCAACACAGGGAGAACCTTGGGGTCCCTGTCCCTTGAAGAAGTAAAGAGTTGATTGAATATTGCTTTTATTTCCTACATCCTAAAATGTTTGATGGAACTAGTGATAATGCAGTGAATTCTTTATTCTTGCCCATAAATTCTTGAATAACTTATTGATTTTATTGAATTCTATAATACACTTAAGAGCAATAAAACTTGGACAGGAAAGAGATGGATTATGAAATGTACATAGTGGCTGTTGCCATTAAGGCTACCATGTTCACACTGGGAGTGAGGTTTCACATCTTAGATTTATGTTGTGATTCATTTCTGTCTATTGCCACTCAAGAGATCAACCTATGCTTTGCAAGAACTTAGTCACCGTGTCGATGAAATGATGCGTGCATTCGGCTTTTCTCCCAGACTTGATTTCTTGAATAATTCTGCATATAATTTCAATTGTTTTCTTGGCAACATGAATTTTCTAGACACAGGAAGACCATTTCCAATATTGCTTTGTGACTTGGGTGATTTCCTTGCCTTAAACGCACATAATTATGAGGCATGGTGTTATTAACAGAGCCCAATGAACCAACAGTACAACATTATTACAAGGCAATCCATTATGTTTTGACCTTGGATGTTTTAATTAAGGAAACACAGTCCATGATTTAGAGCTTAGCCAAAATATGTAAATATGTCTTGTTATTGCATCTATAAGAAGGAAATGAGTTTGCTGTGCACAAAATCTGGCCACTGTCTTAAAACTGCCACATTATTTCATGTACAATCTTATAACCATAAAATTCACTGGCCATAAAGGTACTTTTCTGTCAACTAATTTATATTTTATTACTTTAGATCCATGATTGAGGACATGTTGTTATGAGCATAGGGGCATTCATTATAAAACAGTGTAGGAATAGAATATTAATAAGATAAAATAAGCATAAATATTCATTGTCAGCAGTGATAATAATAGAGTATAAATACTGTTCATCCGCAAAGGTATAGATAAATATTCATTGTTAGACATAGTATTACAATATCTAGTGCCAGACACAGTGAAAGCATATGGTCTTGTATTGTCAGAAATACCTGCATTTGCTATATATGTAAAGTCCCAGATACAAAGGAGACAAATAAGACCCCAGGTCCCAAGTGACAGATGTCCAGTATGCCCCTCAAGCCGTCACAAACTGGCCAGTACTAAAAAGAAATAGCTGCCTTGGAGCTAAATCTTCACTGACCTAAATAAAGACCTGTTTTCCAAGCTCACACAGAGTCCGTAGATATTTTGTGGCATACTTACTATACAGGTTTGTTGCCTCTGGAAAATTACAGGATTTGTCTGGTGTATTATATACAGGTTATTAAGGACATTCCTCTAAAGGTTGATGAGATAGTCTCAAATATGCTGAAGCTGTTGTTTCTGATGTTCATGACAGAAAATATTTTCTTGGTCCGACAGAAAATTGTGGTTAGTGACTGACCCATGTCCAGCAACAATTTGAAGACCAGTCATCTTCAATAAATAGCCAGTCAAAAAAAAAAAAAAAGCACAGAAAACGTTTGGATTTTTTTTTTTTTTTTTTACATTTACCTGATGATCAAAACTTTTAACTGTTCGTTGATCATTATGAAGGATGGATACCGAACACCCTCCTGCCCTCTTGAAACGTGCCATTTTCATACTGAAATGCCTGCTATAAGTCAACTTTAAGGCAAATCAAAATTTTCAGTCAAAAAGCAATGTTAATTTTGTTAGACTATTTCATTTATTAATTTTTTGTTTTGATTTTTTTATTGCCAATTCTACATATCCCAGGCATCTGGTAAACGTGTTTTGCAAGCCTGATCCTAGTTAGTGCTGCAGAGACATTTCCTGTGAAGCATTGGTTGTTTAATTGATCTCAGAAATGGAGACACAAGGCCTGTCATGATCAATCAAAAGGTATTACTCATCAGGTTGGTGCCTCGGAGGTTTTCAAAGTGATGGAACTTGTATAGAACTGATATAGATTCACCGAACAAAAGGGTTTTCAGTTTGTGGGACAGACTGCTCTGATGTCTCTTTGTGCAGAATTAGCTTTTAAAACATTTATACACGATGCCCTTTATGGCTCATCGGAGAAATCGATGTTCATGGCATGTTGGGGCTGACTTTTCTTTGATTCAGTGAATATTGGAGAGAAAGAATGAGGATGTGATTCAACGCATTGTTTTCTTCTGTTGTTTCAATATTTTGATGTGGTACAATGCTGGGATTAACAAGAGAAACCCAGCTAGATAGATTTTTATCAGTATAGAAAAGAAAAATGAGAAGCCATGAAAGCAATTGTGTGTGGTTACTGTATGGCTTTATAACTACATGACAAGATATTATGTCAGATATATTTGGTTTTGTCTGTCATGCAGAATTTGTTTCTTACATTGATATAAGAGTTACAATTTATATGCAAATTACCTAAGAAATTGTTTAAAAGAATCAGAAGTTTGTATGATTTTTTTTATGGAAATTGAAAAATTAAATGGAGGCAATAAAAAATAATAAGCATTAGTCTCAGAACCCCTTAAATGGGGCAAAATAAGTAGAGATATGTACAGATCAGTCCTTAATTTTTTTGCTAGAATTGTGGAGTAACGAAGAAAATTAGACCTCCCCCAACCCCCAATACTTTAACCCTTTAGGTCCAATTAATGTCATATCTGAATATTTATGATGAAATCTGTGCCCCTGTGCTATTATTAGGCACAGGGTACTAAAACATGGTTGTTGTCTATATAATGAATCTGGGCTGTGTAAATATTGCCAGATACTGAGTCAACTGGAGAGGGGCAAAGGTGGAAAGGTATTTACAGGTGGATAGAAACCTGTTATGTCATTTATACCCTTGCTTTGCCAGTTAGAGTCTGAAGCTTTTGCATGTTTTGATGAGAAATAATTGGAATTTAGGTGAAGTTATTAAGGGAACTTATTTCTTTTACATTCTGTCAAGTTATATTTGTGTTGGGACCTTTGGTTCCTGTGGTATTCAAGTGAAATATTAGAGGAGAGCGATGCCAGGAAATGTCTTTGTGGTATTAAGATACAACTGATAACACATTTACATTTTCTTTGGGTTTTTATCATTAAATAAAGATAATGTTTAGGATACTTTACCGATAAAAAATATTAAGGAAAAACACGCCTGCTGTCAAAGCCTCATCGTAGTCTTCAAGATAACACCATATGCATTGACAATAAAAAATACTGCTGATGGTTTCAATAACTTTGGCAAATATGTCTAGAACCTCTTTGTTTAACCAATTGTCAATCTTACCCAAAACACTGAGTTAGTAAGTATGTGGAGTTCTTTGTTTTCACATGAGTACACACTGTACTTAGATCTCTCACATTCCTCACATTGCTGTGGGAGGGAGGCAGATGTGGGGCCACTTAGAAATCGTTTAATCTGTTTGGACACTGCGACTCTCACAGAGGTATTGCCAGTTTGTATATTTACGAAAGGGAGAAGCTGATTCGGCCATCGGTCATTGGCTTGGATCGTCAGTTGGGTCGTAATTTATACAACCATTTCCACTCATTTAAGTGATTTTGTTCAAACCTGTAATACGACAGGGTTTAAAAAAAAAATTAAAAGATTAGAAGGTTACATGTTCTGATTTGTGCAGATGTACCCAATTAGCACTTACGGAACTCTTGTCTTATGATTCTCTTGAATGCTGAAGAACACAAAATAAGAAAACATTTTTGAAACATACACCATTGATTGATATATCTCAAATTTGATCTTAATTTGAAATATTTAAGGGAATCTTTGTTACAAGCAACATTATTATTATTTTATTTCTTTAATTCTTCATTCTCCAGGCCCTTGTGAACATCAATGTGGTTGACAAGCAGAGTGGAAAACATGAGCCTATGGTGGCATTTCTGTGTAACAAAGCGGCCATGTACAAGACAAAGAAGGGATGGGTCGCTGACAGGGATACCGACTGCCTCAAGGACGGCAGCCAAATTGTGGAATTTTGTAAAAAGGTGAGAAGTTGTACCTACGGGTGGTTAATTTGAAAATTCTTAATTTATTTATTGAATAGTTTATACACACTGTAAGACGATTGATTTTGAAATTTGAACTATTTGGATTACTTGACTGCAGTGTAAATAAAAATGGTGGCTGGGTGATTGTATGAATTAAAATCCTTCTTTTGTAATGATAATGGCTGAAACGACAGGTTGTTGCAAAAGTTTTGCTTGCAGGTATTCTGTTCTACTTGTATATCAACTTTTAAGATTTATTACTTCTGTTTATCCCAGGACAAATCATTCAGATAAAGAATCTAGTCTTATATTTTGTCATTATACTACAAGATCTGTTTCATTATATTTTGTGAACAAAAACACTCATCTCCCCATTTTAAGAATGATTGAAGGATGTTTGTATTAAACCTGAATTATTGGATGTATGTTGTTTATGTCATACAAAACCTGTTTTCTTGTCTAGGCTTCCAAGCTTTTTTTTTTCCAGTGTTAATTGGATTACATTAGAGCCCCACCTTGTAATGAAGTTGGTTACTCTCCGGAGACATAGCAATGACATTCTGTTACCTCTTTATACAAACCCACAGAGAATTGCTGACATTTCATTTGTGTGTCTGAAAGTCCAGATGATGCATCTTATCTGTCCTTGGCCGTGTCACTATAAAAACCTTGGGAATTTTATCAGACGCTGTCATTAACACTTGTTTTCTGTTTTGATCGTAAAGATACGGCTCACTCGAATCTTCAAGTTTCTGCCGCTGGTCTTCTTTGTTTCTCAAGGTCCTGTGGGGATCTGGGGAATCTTATCATGAGCCAGGGGGGTTCTAATTTTACTGTAGGTATTTGTCCATCAGAGCCTTGGCCTCGATATTTATACTAATGGTGGCCCAAATGTCCCATCCTCTGCCATTTTGTGTACATATATTTGTATTGAGATTAGTTGAATAAAACAGAAGTGATTTTGTAAGCCTTAGTATGTTTATCAGAAGTCCAGTTGTTGTAAGAGCATTTGAGCTTTTTTGGACTGATATACACCTGATGCTTCTCTTGTCAAACTTGTTTTTACCTTCTCTTGAAAACTGCCATTCTGGGATTAACTTGATTTATGGAGCGTTCAACTCATTACTTCCTAATCGTACTTATAAAAGAAGATCCTTTGGGAAATAGAAAATCAGTTTTGTTTAAATGAAGTGAGGGATTACCAAGCAGTGTATCTTCAAACAAGAATGTAATATTTTCTTTCAACTATGCACCAATGAAGTCTTGGCCACATGTGAAGTCTGTGGATTCCTTTCTTTTTGGTGCAAGGGCTTTGTTTTATGTGATGTCTTAAAGAGTAAAAAAAAATTAAGCCACTTTTTTGGTCACACCTGTATACATGTTCTCTCCCCCTTCCCATTTTCAAAGAAATGGCTTTTATTCATGATTTCTTGGAATTCTAAGGCTGTGACTGTAAAATTGAGGAATTCATCAAGCCAGTTTGGCCTTTAAATGCACGTTTTGCAGACTGTTCTTATTCTGAGGAAGAAAAGCAATTTTTCTGAGAAAGTCGTACAACTGATTGTTATTGGTAGGGACAGAAGTCTGTATGACAAAGTCTTGGCAGACATGAAAGTCTACCTCATATTAGACTGTGAAGAATCTGAGCTAGCCACTTTGTTTTGTTGTCCCGTCCCCCTCCCTCCTTACATCTTAGAACCAGTCAGAACATTGCCATACAAATAAGTGTACCCCACAATGTGAGAAGGGTCTAAGCTAAATGTTTTGCTGTTTTTAAAATATGTTTTAGCATGTCCTAAGTGAACTCCAAAATTACTTTCAGTCTTGTTTCAGAGAAAGTCACCAGCAGTGAGACGTACAAAGAAATACGTTTTTTTCAGTATGCTTGAATATTTGATAACACCCCCTAGAGACAGTGATCTGAAGAATGAGCTGTTCATGTTTAGTGGTCCACTGATAAAATGATGTCTTAGGTCAAATATTATTCTCTAGCTGAATGGTAGTCACCTTGCCCCACTCTTACACCCCATTTCCATAGATTAGATCGACCTACTTTAGATCGACCCAACTCCCTGGGGGTTCACGCTAAATAGCTGTCAGCTGGGCGGACACGAAAGTTAATTACCCCCTTACAGCTTGTAGTAGGCGGGACGGACATTTAAGTCGGATTAACTGAAGGTAATCTAGTGAGACTCCCCATGGGGATAGATCGATCTAAAATCTATGGGAATAGAGCCCTAGTTTTCAGTGCCATTGCTGGCAGAAGTCTGATTCTTGAATTTCGTAGTTCAGTATCCCTTCCACTTTCACTTGAGTAAATGCTGCTCCTTTACAGTAGCTTTTTGCTAACTGTCTAGACTGTGCCGCTATTAAATCTGTTCTCATTTCTCTCCTTTTTCTTTCAGTTGAAACGATTAAAACCAAGTCTAAATAATTAAACAAAGTAGGATTTTATAACATATTTTTCTTTTTATGGACAGACACAAATGTGTCATCATGACGATAAATTATTAATTCAATTTTTTTAGCAGCATGCCATATATCCACTTTTATAACGTTTATCAGCCAACCGTATATATATGATGTAAGTGTGCAAAACTGAATATTGATCCGAAATGGAGTGATCAATATCTGGACAGCAACACCTCCCTGTGCTTGTTGAATGTAAACATGCAGGAAAACCCTCCATAATGGTAGTCTCTGTTGTCATTTGAGTGTACTAGTTTCCCAACAGGAGATTTAAAGATTGGATTACAACTGGTGTGTGTGAGTTCTGTGTGGCGAGTGAATGCTAGTATTTCCGTTTTGAAATCTGGCTGTGAAAAAAAAGGTTATGATTGGTGACTAAAAAATAAAGGGTGTTTTTAAGAGATTGAAAAAAGGTTCAGTTTTAAAGATTTAACTTGCTTGAAATTTGATTTTTTGTAAACTGTTTGCAGTCCCGAAGAAGAGCTGTGCATGGAAGATTAGTGAGCAGTTTACTTGCAAAGAAATGCATAATTTTTGACGTTAAAACTAATATTTTATATTTTTGTTTGAACTATTTCAACCATTGTCAAAAAAAAAGGGGGTGGGGGAGGATAAACCCAGGGTCTTGAAGCAGCTGCTACGTTTACCTTTCTACTAATTCCAAAAGCTTTCTTCAGAAATCATCACTATGTATTAAAGAAACCTGGCTGTTTCCTTCATTTCGCTCATCCACGCCCACTATAATCTCTCAGCTTTAGAATAAATCTAGGATCTTGGTAAATAAGCCAGCTGCTTAAAAAAAAAAAAAAACAGCCATTTTTTATGGTGAATATCACTTGGAAAAGTCTTTTAGTGTAAAAAAAAAAAAAAAGAATTATTTGAAGTTGACTCTGAAAGGACAAGGGTTAATGTTATTTGTCATCCATGTTTTCAACATTTCGAACAAATCTGGTCCTGAATGTTATGTAGTGAACTGTAGAAAACATGCAAAGATGACGTTTGAAAAGAAGATTGGTTTGCTGTCAAACATTGGACCATAATAAGCCTCCCTGTGGACTTCCTCTGGTGCAATGCTCTCGTTTCGTTTCACTAGCTGTTTATTGCCAAAGGACCTTCACACGTTATGTGAGATCCCATTTTATCTGGAGTCAATTCAGCATGCTGCTTGGAGCTCTGGCAGAAATCGATAAATTCATGTGATACTGTGTGTTTTAACACGTTGTCTTTCAATTTTGTGGCTGTGTTTTATAGGGAAATGCATCATTCTGTGAAAAGTGCTTTTTAATGCTGTTTGCAAAGTTTAGATCTCTCTCTCTAAAAAATATTTTGTCCATATTCTTAATCAAAATCTTGGTTTTTTATCCCTAACTAAAAACATCTCAATTTGATGCTTAGAAAGATATTATAGTGATTGAGGTAGTTTTCGTGATACAGAGGCACTTCTTGCAATGGCTGACTAAGATATTTGCATGGATCGCAGAGTTCAAGCAGTGCAGAATGACAGCTAATAATGAAGGCTAATGAGAACAGACAGAACAATTGGTCAATTTGCTGTGCACAGTTAGCAAAGTTTGTTACTGAAATTTTGTGACATTCAGTGCAATTTAAGGAGGAGGTTATTATTATTATTATTAAGAGCTCATTAAAAGGATCGCAGAGTTTCTGATGTCTGTTTTATTTTCTGATAATCCATAAAAATGACAGCATTAAAAAGATAAACAAGAACCATTTTCTTGTTATAAAATCTCTCGGCATTTGCAAGCCTTGTTCATCCTAAAAGTGTGGAATATATTTTCCATGAAGGATACATTTTGGTCAATATGATTAGAATTTGAACAAAGAAGCTGCTCAGCTGGACAGAAAAAGTCTTCATCATATCTTTTAATGATAATCAATAGACTCTGCTTTCCTTCTCTGCACATATTCAGCTACTATTTGATCAGGGGCTTGTATCTACTGTAAATCCTTAAAGCAAATTTTGGCAATTTTCCAAAGAGATTTACAAAATAGTTTTGATACTTTTTGGTTGTTTTTTGGTGCCGTAATGTCCCTTTGGCATCTCACTGTAACAATGTGTGAGTGTTCATAGGTTTGATTATGATAATTTTGGGCCGACATTTACAAAATTTGAAATTGAATCACAAAGGTTGTCAATTGAATTTACTTTTCCACACTTTACGGTCTGGTAATATCTGAGTGGAAATGCACAAGAGGCGGAAATAGAATCCGAACGATGCAGTAAATTGGTCTGGAAATCAATAACCAATTTGCTGGCCTTTATTGTTCAAGTTGATTAGAAGTGTCTTTTAGCCTGACTGGCATGGTGTGTGGCGTTCTGAACACACAGTGAAATAATCCATTGTGGTGTGCTAGTACTACAGTTTTAATTAAGAGTTTTAAAGTGGAGGCTTTTGCTTAAGAATTGGTATTTTACGTCATTTCTGTATGCTGTTCTAAATGTGTCTTCATTGTGTTATAGGGTGAGGTAGTAGAGAGATGCTCTATTTAAAGGATTGTGTTTTGTCGCC